GACCTTGGGCCGGGTAGAAAAGTCAGCTGACTGCAGAGCCGGAAAAATATCAAAACCTGGTCCTATACGACATCTACTATTTCTAAATCCAAGACTTGTGTAGAGGAAACCATACTGAATCTGAATCGTAGATTTCCATATAAGAAAGCTCTCATCTGTATAAACAATGAAGAAATTTTTTAAACGTTTGAGACGCTTTCATGGATGATTTTAAGTTATGCAAGACGATAATTAAAGTATATATGCACATAAGATCTGAAATATGAATGGTGTGGGTGGGTGTGAGTGGGGTGTGCGTGTGGGTCTGAACGAGAAGAACAGCCACCCACACATCCACACCTGTGTAGGTACAGTGATAGAGCCCCAACAGTATAGGAAGAGTGATATACTTATGAGGATATCGGCAAAATCATATGTTCAAAAGATTATAGGCAGGATGATATATCTATGACGAGACAGGTCGATGGATACACTCACAACACCATAGGCAGAATGATATATCTATAAGAATATATGTGACGTCATATACTCACAAGGCTAAAGATAGAGTGCTATATTCATGAGGAAACAGGTAGCGTGATATACTCCAAAGAGGATAGGTAGAGTAATATATCCATAAGGATAGAGGTAGAATGATATACTCACAAGAGCATAGGTAGAGTAGCGTACCGAAAAAGAATATTAGTGAAGTACTACATCCATGCGGGTATTGATAGATTGACCTATCTATGAGGATTGGAATTGAATATTATATTTATGACTGTTTTTCTTCACGAATAGTGGTGTAAATTGTGAACTTTTTCGTGCTCTCTGTCGATTTCAAGTGGTACCAGGTTGTTGAGGTTTAGTTGTTAGAAGGTTATATTTAGCTGGAAATACCGGTAAGTGTATTTACAGATGAAAATTTTCTTTAGAGTGAGAAGTTAATTTGAATTATAATTCACTTATCAATATTCGACAGTATCAGTGATGTGAATATTGTGAGACTATGAAGAAATCTTTTGCATTCCTATTAGACGGTCGTGTATGATCATACAAGATCGTACAGTTTGCTCATATGTGGATTTTAGTATAATATCTGATGTAAAATTGCAGACACGATGATTTTCCATACGATTTTTCGTATGATCATATAGGATCAGGTACGATATTACTGTAATATCTGATACGGACTTACAAGAATCTGTCATTGATCTTAGGATCTGATTTCTCGACCTGGGTGGTCTTGGAAGAATCGTACATCAAGACTTGATATAAATTTTGCAGACACGAAAATTTCTCGCATGATTCACGTCTGATATTACAAGATCATACACGATTAGACTTCTGATTCCAAGATCTTACGTCTGACTTTTTGAGCTAGGATTCCCCATAATTCGAGCCCACCAAATCCTATTGGTTCAGAGCAGGGCTGGAAAAACATCTGGTTGGCTCAATTTCTACCTTCTGAAACCCTATTGGTTGAGTGCGGACCCACGAAACATCTGATTGGGCTATTCAGTAGAACTTTAGTCGGAAAAGACGAATCTCTGCGATGAAGTCTGTTAGGCTCAAAGAGGTTTCCAGCTTGCGAAAGGTCGAAAGAACATTTTTTCTCCCTGTGCGAACGAACGAATATACGAACAAACGAATTCACGACCGAACGTAACAACTCACTTTTCGTAAGACCCTTCTTTCAGTAGAGGGAATAATAATCTTCCAATTCAATCGATTGACCAGATTGAAAATCGATTGTTGATTTTAATCGACTTTTATATGTAATAATCGATTATAATCGATTGATTGGATTAATTTTGAAGAGGATTATCCGATTTCAATCGATTATCATCCGATTGTTTGGGAAAAGTGAGACTTTGTCGTTGATAATCAAAAATAATCGGGATTTTCGGAGGAATTTTTTCCCTGGGTAGAGAGACGATAACAACAAATCTAAGTGAAAAATAAGCATGTCAATTTAGTATTTGATTATAGTACTAAACGATTGTGAATTTTTTTTTCCATTTGATTCGTTCATTGATTTTTAAGACGATTACGAGCAACTTAAGTGTGAATTATTAAATATTGTATCAATGTATTAATATATAAGGGTTAATAATAAGCATCATTAGGCTAAATAAGTTCATGCATTTGTATAATATTTTTGTTTAAGTTGTATTATTACAACTTGATGAACAGAAATCTCCTCTTTTGTTTAGTAATATAACATCAACAAAGTCTCGAAACAACCTATGAAGGAAAATACGAACGATTCAAAAATTTCTTCATCAATTCCAGAATTCCAAAAACTATTTCGGAAGTTTTTCGATGTCTAAGTGAGAAAGTTATATTCAGCCATTTCGCTCGTTAAATATAATATCTCAAGATTAATAAGTAAAACAAAGGTTTAAAAAAAAATGGATAAAAAATCAATTATTTTAGTTTAACCAACTTTTATGTTGTGTATTACCAAACAAAGAATAAGATTTCTCAATGAAATTATGTAGATTTTCTTATAAAATTTATGTATGACATTTACCGAAGATATTTTGGTTATGATACTTTATATCACATAATTTTTATAGAAAATCAACAGATTCTTTCATTACAAAATCTCATTGTTGTGTGTTTTCAGTCAACTTCTCTTGATTAATAGATCATTTTTCTTTTGTGCATAGCAAACATATTATCGTTATCAGTCTCAAATATTGTTAAAGAGGAAACGATTAACGACGGCTTTTTTTTACTGTCGATTTTTTTTATTGTTGCCAATCGTATTGAATGTAATAAGTCGACGTGAATTGTGTTATGCGTTGCGCCATTTTCATAGACTTAGTTCGACAAAATAGAGTTCATCGATTCCTGAAGAAGAATCAAAGTGACGTGGTGAAGGTACCATTCGGCGAAAAGATCTACTTGATTTTACGATCGAACAAACTTATGCTAGTGTTCTGTCATTTTTTCAACGGAATTATATGTCTTATTTGAATAGCATCGATCTCACTGTGACTGTTATATCTCTTGATTTAGCAACTATTCATTGACTGGGTGCTCGCTTTAGACGACAAGCCATTCGAAAAATATATGCATTCAATAGGCGATAGGAAAACCTCATACAATATTGATTGCTATTGAAACTCACGCAAAAAAAATTATTGATCAAAATGTCTTTCTTCTCTCACGTGGTAAGCCTTTGTTTGACGGAAAATATCGATCTCAAATAGTCTTTTTTTATAAGTATCGATTACTATTCAACATATTCACTATTAAAAGCACATGTTTTACGTCATGGTAAGCCATTGTCTTTCATTCAATTCGATGTACATTGCGATACATGGCTCGATGAATCCTCAAACATCTATACAAATTGGGATTGGTACATTTAATGACGATTTTATGAATGTAAAAATTCTTGATGATGAATGGGTACATTAACACTAAGCCGATGATATGGCAGAAGTAATTCTAAATTGAGTCGAAAATCGGCTGACTTATTTAACATTCGATATCGATTGTCTCGATTCTGCATTTGCTCCTGACACTAGTACTCCAGCCTGTGGTGGCTTAACGATGACTCAATCGATATCTATTCTTCATGGTTTGGATTCAATCAATTACCTCGGAATGAATATTGTTGAAATAACTCTCTCATATGATCAATCAAATATAACGAGACTAGCTGTAGCTAACTATCGAATATCGATTTTTTATGCTTACTTCGAAATAAAAAAATGATTAATCAATAATTTTCATTTGGAAATTATCCAAACCAAAAACAAATATACCCAGTAGATTTGTTTCTAGAAATTCTCTGTAATTTTTTCGATTTTTGATTCTGGCACCTGTTCGATGGAGTAGATAATAATCTGACTAAAAGTCAAATTTTCTATCAACTGATATAAAAACCAAAGTTTAGAATAATTGTTAAATGCTTCCAAGATAGAAAATAAAATTGGACTATTTATTATGAGCATTCTTTAGTTTTCTACATCAGGAAAACATCTTACAGTTTTCTAAAGTAGTCAATCTTGGGCGGTACATCAGCATTAAAAGAGTAACGATTGCTTCCACTAACAAAAATCTGTACAAGCAATAATATAGTTTATCGATTTGTGTGAGAGACTTTGAATTAACGAACAATATAAATTAGAATGAAAATAAAGGAAGAATTTCGATTGTATTGGATTCTTTTGATAAGTAAATTTTTCGAAAATGTTTCTTAAATAAATTTATATTCTTTTCGAGAAGATTTTGATGATTTGCATCGATTAGGTTTTAGTTTATAAATTCTTCTATTGAACTTAATCAAAATGAACAAATCAAATAAACACATTACATTCATCGAGACTCGATTCATTTGACTCTAGACTGTCAGAATAAAGATACTCATCAAGTAATATCTAAAATAAATTTTTTTTTTTATCTAATTTAATAAAATTATTTTAATAATCAATATATGTTTGATTTTATTTTGTATTAAATCATAGAACAAATTTCACAACCATAAAATTAATTCATACTTATTTCAGTATTGAACACAGTTATTCTTTTATTTTGACAATTACAAAGGTACTAGAAGACGATTTATCAATAAACCTCCACGTTTAAATACAATATTCTTTTCTAATAGCATTATGTTCTTTTCAACTTAGCAAAAACTTTTAATTCAGTATTAAGGTTCCAGTAATGAAAAAAAGTGAACAACAAGAAATAATTGTACGTTGACTTCTATGAGCGTAGCTAATAAAGAGTAAAAACTTTGATTAAGATTCGACCGAGTCTGGATCCACAAAAATATGAACCTACAAGCTCTCTACTATGTCTTATTGTTCGCTTCCAAAAAAAAAACCAACCAAAGATATTAGTGTTTTGTAAATATATCGATAAAATAAGCAGCTATCTAACTGTTATTGTTCTCTATTTTTTTTTTATTTAATATGAAAAATTAGCCTATCATTCGAAAATAATGTTTTTGTTGTTTTGAAATGTCAATTTCATAAAATGTTTTATTATTATTAACAAATTTATATTTTTCCTTGTAATAAATTTCGAATCATTTCACGACCCGAAAGACGAATCGTATGATAAAATGTAATAAAATCTAACGTGGAAGTGAATGTATCAGCTAGACCAAATGGCATCATTGGTGGTATCCATCCACGTGCATATTCAAGTGCCCAACATCCTCGATGCATTTTAAATTGTTTTGAAGTACCTTTTGGCAAATAATGAACACTACCAACTTGATAAATTTCTTTATCTAATGAACCAGCTGAAAATGCCCATTGTTCACCATACAATATATGAAAATAATCATCTGCCGTATGTAATCCAGTATGACCTTCAGTACCAAGTGGTGTTCCAAATATAATAAGATATTCTGTAAGTGATGCATGTATTATAAACATAGCACCCATAGCTCCTCCAGCATTATTAAATATCCATTCTTCTTTATCTGTTAAATATCGTTTATCAATTGTTTTTTGTAATTCAGTAACAATATAATCAATTACTGGACGTATTCTATTAGGACTTTCTTGAGGTATTGGAATTAATTTACCATTAGTAATATTCAAATGTCCATTTGCAATTAGAGCTCGTTGAGTAAGTGTATGAAGTTGTTCTGGATCGAAAATATAGAAACGTGTTTTCATCGAATCAAGTACACCAATGATAACAGCTAAACAAACAACTAAGAAACTCACAATCAAAAATAAACGTGATTTAGACATAACAATTCAATGATAGATCATAAATCTACAAAAAACTATATTTATATCTGAATTAAGGTAGAAAATGGTATGATCACATGTGTCATTTTACATGTTATCTTTCGCTCATAATACGTCATCATTCTCTTGCTTTGATCTTTTTTCTCGTTTATTTATTATACATTAAGTACACACCTTGTTTTTAATGTATTCGTTTTATCACAATGATGATAATCATAGTGACACTGAGGGATGTTAAAACTTTTAAATTAGAAACGAGAAAAATATTTTTAATTTGATGACATACGTCTCTACCTAATTATATTGTGTTGCGTTGCGTACTATATTTAAATTTTACGCCCTCTATTTTCTGTCCATTGGTATCCATAATTCATTTTCAATAAATATTCGGTACATTACGGAAAAGTGAAATATTGGATTTTTTTTTTTCATTATATGTCTTTTGTTCTTGTAGTAAGATTTACTTTTAAATTCATACATAAAAAGTAATAAGAAGAATATCAATTTTAAAAAGTTTTTTCTGATTAGAAATCAAAATATTTTTCAATTATTTTTTAGATCATTAATTTTATCGTATACAATCATGGATGATTTCGATGTTGATCTCATTGATGAACTTTGTTCATCTTTTTGTACACCATGTACAAGTCAAAATACAAAAAATGATAATGATACAAAAAATACAAATGAATCATTAGTATTATCAAATCGTAAACGTACATCAACATTGAATCCTCTTGATAGTTCTAAAATTAAGAAAGTGTGTTTATTGGATGTATCAAATAGATCAATTGTTGATGAATATGATGAAATCAGTACACTTGATGAATCAGCTCTTCAAATGCTTGTAATATCATAAAATATAATTATTTTAATTTTACAATAGATTTCTTTTTCTTTTTAGTGTGAAGAATGGGAACCAAAATCACAATTTCCAACTTTATTGACACGAGTTGCTGGTCTACTTGAAAAATATCGAAATATTCAATCATTTCATAGTAAGATAATTTCTAAACTATGAATTTTCTAAATTATTAATTGATTCTATATAGCTTGGCAAAAGAAATGTCTCGATTTACCAGCTCGTCGAAAAAATCAAAATCTTATTTATACACTTCCAACAAGTGGTGGCAAAGTTTGTTAAAAATGTGTAGGCTTTTTCTTTTATATTGTATACATAAAATTTTTCTTTTAGACATTAGTTGCTGAAATAATGATGCTTAATTGTTTACTTCATCGACATCTTGATGCTATTTTTATTTTACCATTTGTTGCAGTTGTTCAAGAGAAAGTAATATTTTTTTTATTGTCATTATGCATTATTTTTACTATGAAAATCTTAGGTTCGAAGTCTTCAACCATTTGCTGATGAACTTGGTAAATTAAAAAAACATAACAAAAAAAAAAAGATTCATCGTTTTCATTAAATATATATATTAGGTTTTCATCTGGAAGAATATGCAGCAAGTAAAGGACGTTATCCACCAATAAAACGTCGAATGAAACGATCACTTTATATTTGTACAATTGAAAAAGCTAATTCATTAATAAATAGTTTAATTGAAAATCATCGTATGGCTGATTTAGGGATTGTTGTTGTTGATGAGGTACATTCTTAAATTTAAGTTAAGAATATAGATCTATGAAATATTTGTACAAAAATTTCAATAGTTCATACGTAGAATAAATGAATCTTTTTTTTATATTGTAGTTACATATGATTGGTGAAGGACAACGAGGAGCTATACTCGAAAGTCTTCTTACGAAAGTACGATCAGTTACACGTAAGTTACATATATAATAACATAGAATTATTAAAACAATTTGATTTATTTGTTTAGCTCAACTACAAATTATTGGCATGTCTGCAACATTAGCTAATATTGATGATTTACTTAAATTTCTTGATGCACAATTTTATGAAGAACGTTTTCGACCAGTAGAAGATGAAAATTTAAAAAAAAAAGAATTGTCATTTCGATTTTTTTTATTAAAATCTAGGTAGAACTTGAAGAATATGTTAAAGTAAATGATATTGTCTATAAAATTGATCGAAATAATTCCAATGATAATAATCAATTAATTGAACATCGACGATTAGATTTTAAAGTTTGTTAAATAGATTTTTCTTGAAGAAAAAAAAAAAAAGAAGATAAGTCTATTAAAATTTTAGTATACAAAACAACATTTATTAAATGATCCTGATCGACTTGTTGGTTTGGGTAAATTAATCAAATTTATATTTTTCAATTAAATTATTAATATATATTTTTGTTTAGTTTCTGAAGTTATTCCAAATGATTCATGTCTTGTTTTTTGTCCATCAAAAATAAATTGTGAAAATGTTGCTCGATTAATTATTAGTTTTATGCCTGAGTAAGTTCTTTTGTGTTTCATTACATTTCTTAAAATTGTTTTTTTTCTTTTTTTCATATTATTTATAGAAAATTACTTGAAGATAATCGTGAAAAACGTTCTATTTTACTTGAATCATTAGTTGAAGTTAATGAAGGTAATCTATGTGATACACTCAAAACAACAATTCCATATGGTGTTGCTTATCATCATAGTGGTTTAACAGGCGATGGTAAATCTTACCTAATCTATTTATTATGTGTGATTGTTCTTTTTTATTAGAACGTCAATTAATTGAAGAAGCATTTCTTGATGGAATTTTAACATGTTTAACATGTACATCGACTCTTTCAACTGGTGTTAATTTACCAGCAAAACGGTAAAGATTATTAATGAATAATGTATTCGTATTTAATAACACGAAATTTTAGAGTTATTCTTCGATCACCTTATGTTGGTAGTCAATTTTTAACTCTTGCACAATACAAACAAATGAGTGGTAGAAAAAAAAAAAATTTTTTTTTTTGTAAATAGTAAAAAATTAATTTTTGTATAAAAAAAAAGGTCGTGCTGGTCGAACAGGACAATCTCAAACTGGTGAATGTTATGTAATTGCTCATGAAAAAGATATGAAACAAGTAAATTTTGATAGAATATTTTTAAAAGAATTTCATTTGTTTTTTTTTCTCTATTTTTAGCTTCGAGAAATGTTATTTACTATAGATGAAAATAATACTGGTTGTGATAGTCATTTAGCTATAAATAATAACTATGCAATTAAACAACTTATATTAAATGCAATTAGTCTAAAAGTAAATCAATTAGTTGTTTTTTTTTTTGTTTTTGATTTATATTTTATAATAGATTATTTTAATTAATGATTAGATGTGTTCATCATATGATTCATTGTTAAATCTATTACAAAAGACTCTTCTTGCTTTACAAGCTGATCGTCTTGATATTAATCTTGAAAATATACTTGATGAATGTTTACAATATCTTATTGATGCAAAAATAGTTCATATCAAAGAACAAGAAAATAATGATAATAGTAATGAAAAAATTAAAAAAGAAATTTTCTATGAAACAACAAAATTAGGCAAAGCAACTGTTGAAGGTTAATATATGAATTATTTAATTTATATGAAAATATTCAATAATAATTGATTAACTATTTTATTTCTTTAGGTAGTGTTGAATTAGGATTAGCTAATTCATTATACAATCATTTAGCAATAAGTTTAATTAATATGAATTTGGAAAATCCATTACATTTACTCTATATTACAATACCATTTGATCTACCTAATATAACTATTGGATTTCGTCAACTTGTTGATCGAGTAAGTAATCTATAATGGGCTCAGAAGAACTATTTCATTATGTTGAAAGTGATCATGACTTCATTTTTTTTTGTTTCATGTAAGTGATAATTCAGATATTTTCGAAAAATATAAAATTTACAAAATTCAAAGACAAAAGTGTGTAGTTACGAATTGACGTAATGTTTATTTCTAATGGAATATGGTATAATTAAAATAGAGAATCAGTAATACTTAATAAATCTAATTATTAAAAAGATTTCGAAATCAAATAAAATATAACATATTGAGAACGATTGAAATATTTTAAGAGTACCAGTTCATTTATCGTAGTCTGTACCAGAGATGTCCATCACGGCGCTGCCGCTGCCGCTACCGCAGTGGCGGCGCGGCAGCGGCAGGACTTTTTTTGGAGGACATTGAAAAACTGTATGATTTTAAGAGAATTTCAGGATTTACAAATGAAACGCCCTGATATTGAATAAATCTGATGGACTAGTACCCATATCTCTGGTCAAATATAGTCACAGCAGTGAAATTAGAAACACTTTTTTGAGAACCGTCGCGGCAGCGGCGCGGTGGCGGCACGTTTATTTTATAATTCATCGCGGCAGCGGTGCGGCAGCTTTTTTCTCTAAGGTCGCGGCGCGGCAGCGGCAGATTTTCAGCCGCGATGGACATCTCTGATCTGTACCTTGAAATATTAGTATTTAAGATTAACATTTAATAATAAATTTGATATATATAAATGAGAGATTGATATATATTTTTTTTGTTATTATTTTAGATACAAGAAATGAAAAATGAAGAAAAACTTGTATTCAAATTATTAGAAATTGATGAAACATTTTTACATAAAAAAGCTGTTGGTTTACCAGCACAACAAGTATAAATGAAATTATTTGTTGTAACTATTATGATTTTTTGTTTTTTTTTTTATATTTAGAAAGTAAGCAAAGAAACAATGTTACGTTTTTATATTGCTATGATATTATATGATCTATTCAAAAATAAAAGTTTTTATGATGTTGCTCAATATTGGGATCAATCTCGTGGTACAATTCAAAATCTTTATTCTCATGTTGCTTCATTTGCTACATCAATACTTTATTTTAGTAAAGTAAGTTTATACAATTTTTTTTTTTTTATTGATTTTCGTTTTATTTTTCTATAGTCTTATGATGAATTTTGGCCTTATCAACAATTATGTAAGTTATGTATTATAATAATAATAATAATCTTAAACGTTATTTTCATAAATCTCAAGTACCAATGTTCATTCAACGATTAACATTTTGTACATCATTAGAAATTCTTCCAATTATGGAAATTCCAGGAATAAAACGAGTAAAAATATTTTATTATGTTTTCATGTTTGATATTTTTTTAAATTAATGAAAAAAAATTAATAATAGGGTCGTGCTTTACAATTAGTTCGTGCAGGTTTTCGTACACTTCGAAGTTTAGCAAAAGCTCAACCTGATCAGCTTATGAAAGCTGTACTTAATTTACCATTACGAACAGCACAAATTCTTGTTAAACATTCAAAAGTAATCGATTTTATTTCATTGATAAATTTTTTTTTTTATATAAATTTTCTTTTAGCGTTTACTTTGTGAACAAGCTGAAGATTTAAGAGATCAAGCAGCTGAATTAGTCGAAAATATTGAATAAGAAAAATATTTATTACGACTATTTTTTTTTATTGTGTAGATTTATAACTGTGATTTTATGACAATTCAATAATTTACTCTTCTCTTTTTTGTGTATATTCGACTCGTTAGATAAATTATGAAAAAAAATATTTGTGAATAAAAACGAACTAAGATGACATAATCTTTGCATATAGGCTAGCTTACTATCGATAAAACCTTTTATTCATTTACTAACAAGGTCATTGAATAAAATGTCAACTTATAAAAAAGAATTAAACTGTTTAGCAACAGTTGAAAAACTTTCACATATGAATTCAACAAAGTTTATAGATAAATTTCCATTCATTGGTTCGAACAAATTTTTTTTAATATATTAATGATCTCTACGTGTTTCATGTCCACAGTCAATTTTAACTTTCTTGCTAATATCGCCGCTGATTTATGAAGTTTACACTTTGAAAAAATTTTGTTTTATAGAGAGACTTTTCTCGATCTCTGTCTTCATAAAAATTTCAGAATTTCTATTAAGATTTAATTTTTCGTGTTTGAGAAAAATTACGGGCATATCAACAAGACCTATGGGAAACGAAAACATTCAAAAGGAGAAAATGATAATAATAATAATGCTATAACTATCTATATATATAATGTTCAGTGTGTGTGTTTGTTTCTCTGTGCCAGATCAAAGGTTAAAGGTCGAAGATCAAATAAGGTTATAAGCGGAAGGCCTCAAGAGCTGTTATATGGCGGTACTCATGGGCCCCCAAGGGCTATTATATGGGGGTATCCATAGGTCCTCAACAGCTATTATATGGGTGTATCCATAGGTACTTAAAAGCTATTATACGGGAGTACCTATAAGTCCTCAAGGGCTATTATATGGTATATCTATAGGACATGAAGAACTATAATATGGGGGTAGCCATAGGTTCTCAAGAGACTATGGCAATAAGAGGATAAGGCTACAAGGGGTACCAGGCTATTAGGCCGAAGACTACGTGAACTATAAAAATATGTGCGATATAAGAGTATGAAGCCGTAGGGTTATCTATCTATATATATGATATCGAGTGTTTGTATGTCTGTTCTTGAATGAAAAGTTAAACGTCTTAGGTCATACGTTAAAGGAGAAAACAGCCGTGCAGTATGCACGGGCTCTCGCTAGTTATATAAAATGAAATATCACTAGAAGCTCTTGATAATGATGATGTTTATGATAGAAGTATTGATGTTGAATTTATAATCACTATTTGCAATGGTTCAACAAAACTTCCTTTTTTTTTCACGAATAATTTACTTCAACCCACATTGTTGCTGATATATTACGTCTTTGAGTAAAATAACCTGTTAATGTTGTTATCTGGTATATTTGAATGTGTTTATGAACTTTTACTAATAATCGGATCAATCTTTATTAATATTGACAACGTTCCAAGACAATTCTGTGTATGTTATACCTGAAAATGATGTGCAATATCATCAGTGAACCTAGTATGAATAATTAATGATTATAAAAGCATTTTTGTCTTACTTATTTCGGTATTTCGAACAGAATTTCTTTTTTTTCCTCTTTCTTTATCAAAACTCTCTTATGCAACTTGATAAATTTCGAAATATTCATAGTAATTATTTACAAAAGTTAAAATTTAATCAGTTCATCCGTTTGTGTATATAATTAGTTAAGTTTTTACACAAATCATTAAAAAGCAAGCAATCAATAGATCAAATTAATATTTCCAAGTTACAATCGAACTTCATATTCGTATAGATGTTATATCTAACGGTTTTATTTTTATCGCTTGTTCATTATCAACATATGTCATGTGACAACAGATAGTATTGAATGTTTCATTTGAAGAAAGACTTTTACACATGTGTAGTTTAGATAGAAAAGATTTAATAGTTATTAATTGACAAGAGCAGTATAATATTGATACTCTTAATGTGAATACTTTGTGGACATCTTTCTATTTTCTAATACCTGTTTTTTTTTTATGCATGATTCGATTGTTTAACTAATTAAGAAAAGAATGACATCACGACACCAGCTTACTTTGCAAGAAAAAAAAATTAAATTAATTAATGAGTCAGGATCAAACTTACGTAATATTGATATTACTTCAAAATCAGAAAAACAAAGAATTTGAAATAGTTTCTTCATTCTACAACAAACCATATGTCCACTCTCCAAAATGATCTAAAACGTTTTTTTTTTTAAATAATTGAAAAATTGTTCAAAATTTTGATACTTTTTCGTTTCTATAAGAATAACCTCGTATATATGAAAGCATAAAGAATTTTTTCTTAATTCTTATCTTAATAAGTTATATGAGATCTCCAATATATAGGTTGAAATTGAATAGATATGATTAATGGAATCAATTGTATTTTTTAGTGAAATTATATTTAATTTATAAAGTAAAATATTCGAAGAGTTGAAGAGTCATTCAAGAAGTCCTCAATTCGTTATCTATTATTAGTTGCATTTACAGCTATTTCACATATGAGCACAGAGAATGGCGCTTAATTTTTTATCTGCTTTCGTTTTAAGTATCTCAAAATGAAAACAACGTAAACTTCTTCATAATTTGTAATTTTCCGAAGGTAACTCTGAGGAAACCGAATATGCTTTAGAAAAGAACTTCCGAGAAAATATTGGTTCAATCTCGCGTTTCAATGATTATTTTCTGCGTTTTGATTCTGGAGATCATTGCGTCACAAAACGACAAATATAAATGCGTACATCGAGAAAGTAAAGTTGATTTTCTACATGAGGCTCTTCAATAGTTAAAAAGTATGTAAAAGTTTGCACATAAATCTATTTTATTATAAAATAATAAAATTCAGTTTTTCTAACATATAATAAATATCAGTTCTCTGTTTTACAAAGATAAGAATTAACGTTCGTGTCATCTCTAGTCACATTCTATCTTTAGTAGAAGAATTAAAAATATTGGAATAAGAAAATATAAAAATCGCATGAAAAAAAAAAGAGTTTTCATATCATAGTCCATTTATATCGACGTTGACCAATTCGTCTTGTTTTGATAGTTTTAGAATTATCAATTAGTAATGGAGCTGCATGTATGTTCACATTACTTTTGTCAATTCCAATGTCACTGAGATCATATGTTGGTGCAGTGTCATCTTTGATATTAAACAGTATTGAGATAATTTCTTGAATACGCTGTTTTATTGCTTTGTCAAAATTAATATCACGAGTACTTAGACCAATCGAAAGTATTGATGTAAAAAAATGAAACTTTTCCCGATTTTCTATGGCAATCGTTGCTTTTTTGATTTGTTCTTCAGTTGGATTAATGGCAAAGAGACGATCAAAATTTCTATCACCTAAATCTTTTCGTAAATCATTGAAAAATCGTTCAGTAGCTTCTATTGCAAACTTTACTGCTTGAGTACTAGAATGACTTCTTTTTTTTTGTTAAAGAACAAGAAATCAAATAAAATACGTACTGAAGATAATAATGAGGAGAAAACATAGATGTCATTGCATCTTTATTGATACCACCTATAGGTATTTGATGAGCTGTTTTATCCATGACAGAACCATGAGAACACTTTTGTACATTGTTTGGTTTTACTATTGGTTCTCCTTTAGAATTTAATTGATCTGACATATAACCACTAGTTAATATGCCTTGTTTATTGATTTCATCGAGAATATTATCTTTACATTCATAATACGACATTGGACATGCTTTTATAACAAGTTTTTGAATGATATTCTGAACAATGAAAGTTTATTATTCTTATATTTCTTTCACATGATAGTAATCTTACACAGTTCGATTGAACTTTTTTACATCCAACACTACTACATGTTGCCTGATTGATATCAGCTATTCGACCAATATTTTCTTGAATACCAATATGAGAATTTATTTCTGTTTTACCCATTTCAACCCAATTCGAATGAGAATAAAAATCTTGAAGTGTATGAAGTAAATCTCCAATTCTTCCACGTGCTTCATCTAAATCTTTATTAGGATTATTTGCATCTTCGATGACTAAAAAGAAAAATGATCGATTAGAATTAATCAATGAATGATACCTTTCTTTCGTAATCTTATGATTCGATGATTGCTTTCATTAAATGATTCACTATCAAAATGAGCTGATGGTAGATTTTTTGTTGATGGATTGAGATCAACTAGAGCATTTCTTACTTGAATCTTATCAATAATACTTTTTAATGGATAAGAATATAAATTAACTTTGTCTTTTGTCCAATCAGGATGAGCTAACTGATAGAGATCATCAATAGTATGGTCACGTTTAAAATCTTCGATGTTAAATGTAGCTTTTTCTTGAGTTTTAGTATCAATAAAAAATTGAGCAAGACTTCGAATAAAACCAAATTGAACTATATCGGTATGAGTTATACCTATTGATTGAAATAAACAAAACATAATGACTTACTTATTATAAAATAACAATACTCACTGTTTCCAGCTTGACCACCAAATCGCACCGCTGGATGAGGAATAAATGGTGCTATCGCAGAAAAAAGTACACATATACATAGACAAGAGAATATATTCATATTTGATATAGGTAAGTCTTTGAGCGAATGTATTTTATAATGTTCTCAGGAAGAATAACAGAAACAAATTTTCTCTTACTCTTCGATACTGGTTTGTGCCATATATATATATAGGACCTAAAGGTATGATACAGCAAGGTAGAATTTAAATCGTATGATTCATAATCGATTATATACTCGAATATTGACAATAGTATGTTGTTTGAATTGAAATGAAACGAATAATCGTATAGTTTTTTCTCGAAAAAATACAAACAGTCATTGCAGATATTTGTGCAAGTGAGAATTAGTTGTTTTTTATTTTGACAGTATAAATCAATGTCTTTTAAAAGATCGTATGCATTATCTCAGGCAGTTCTTTTAATATCTTAATAAGAAATTGCATTTGTGAACATTATTTTAATATCTTGTGATGAATCAGACGATATTATAGAGATTAAATACTACCACTGTACTAGATTTATTGAGTTTTTGTTTATTAATTCAATTCAAATGGCTTAGAGCAATTCTATTATATTCGAACAAGGTTATTGCTGGCAACATCTATTGATGTAAGTAAACTATGCACACTTAAAAGAAACTTGTCATATCGTATTATACTTGCATTGCAACAGAATGTTGTGTGTTGCTACCTTTACATTCATTATGGTATATGATCTATAGAAACTCAGGAGTCGCTTATATTTTAAAAAGATTAGGCAGAATTGTAAGCAAACATTGTATGCCTAGAAAACAAATTGATTTAAGTATTTACAAAAAAAAAAATGGCTGCTGCAATCCTTGTTGTATTTGAAGAACATCATTCCTATTATTTGAAACAATTATAAATATTACTTTTTTTTAGGATTGATTTTTCGATAATTATAACAAATAATGGTCTTAGAGAACTCAAACTCTCCTTGATTTTTTTTTGAATACAGTAAAACCTCTGATGATGAATACATTTTGGTGTCTATTTTGCTGCTATAACCTCTCTAATATGAATATATTTTTTTGACCTCTTTATAGTTTCTGTCATTTGTTTCATATGTACTACCAGTAAGCACAATATGTATATGATTCAGCTACCTTATGTGTAAAATAATGATTATGAAACAAATCTAATCCGAAATGTTAAACGAAAAGTAAAAGGTATCAATGCACAAACTCTAGACGATCAAGCGTACGAATGATTCATAGAAGGAGATACATAAAAATAATGACCTCAAAAGCAAAAATTGTATTGTATTGGGAAAAACTTTCGATTTGAATCACTCAAATGAAAATAGATGAACAAGAGAATACATAACCAGACGTTCATCTAGAACCTATGTATAATGAACACGTTTGAATGATTTCGATGGTGTTCAAAAAAGAGAAGTTTTACTATGTATTGTTGTGTGATGAAAAGAGATAGTTAAAAAAAGAAACAACTCAGAAAGTAAATGTAAATAACAGATATTAGGTTCGAGATAAGGATATTTACAATTGTTGATAATTTTAATTTGGAGTATTGTTCCTCATAAGAATAGCCTAATATAAAATGTATAGCAAATAAAATAGTATCATATCGATTATTAAAGCTTTTGCTAGAAACTTTTAAAATTTGAATGAACATCAAATGCTGAAAAATTAAAAGAAAGGATTCAATCGTTGTCTTTTTTAAGTATCATTTGTTAAATTTATGAATTAAATCATAACCAATGTCGATAGAAGTCTATTCTAATTTAGTGAGTATCATTGCGACAAATGAGCAGATCAAAAAGTACGAGTCATTTCCTGTCGGAAACTCGTGAAAAATAGTAGGAAATGGCAAGTAGAAATTCTGTGGTCGAATCCGGAAGTCGAAAGCATTGCCCTGAGTGTAAAAATATTTATCAAAACATTTTAATGCAGTATCGCGAACAACCTATTCCATAATCGACTTCAATATGTATATATCTTGTGATGGTCTCTCATTCATATATTTCCTAGAATGAAGGCTTATTTTTCGAAAGAAAACCAATATAGAAGGTCATATAGGATCATTTTTTTTTGTATATGTCTCTTCACGCATCATTTTCAGTTTAGGACACCATCACCTAACGAAACATAGTTGGCGACAAGACAGAACATTCATTAATAATATCCTTTTGTTATGCCGTATAGTCTACTATCTAAGTGTGTCACGAGCATAGTAGTTTGATTTCATTTTTTATATAAGTCTGTCTAATGATAAAGTCAAATACTTCAAGATTTGAGTATCAATGAAGTATGATGAAATCTTTGGATTTTAGTACCAGGTAGACTTACATAAAATAAATTCAAACATTTTTAGATATACTTCCATAGAATTTGGCATGCTTTTGCTTGTTATACGATTAATTTTTATGATAAAAAAATAAAAAAAATGTGTATGAAAAGAGAAAGCAAATCATGAGTTTTTCAAGCAAATAAATGAAAGAAAAAAAAAACATATATTTAAGATTTGACAGCATACGAAATATCTGTTAATTATTGTATGTCCCATCTAATAAAAGAATATACAATACACTCAAAACAAAACAAAAAAAAGAAGCACACACGTATATGTTAATAAAACTATTTTACCAAACATGATGTCGAATTTTTCCTGTATTTTTTTGAGAACCACCAGGTAAAAATGGTACTTGTTGTTGTTTATTTGTAAGAGAATTTCGTCGTTTTGTATTAAGTTTTTCTTCAATTTCATATTTATCTTTTTCTTGAAGCCATTTTTCATAAGCTTCTTGTGCACTAATAAATTTTGTTTCTTCATTTTCATGAAGTTTTTTTAATTGATCTTCTTGTATATGTTTTTTTGTTTCACTGAATTTTTTTGTTTGTTCAATTTTTTTATTGTTCCATTTTTCATAAGCTTTTGCAGCTTCTAAAATTTTCTTTTGTTTTTCTATAATCATAAAATAAAAAAAAAAAATTTTTTTTTTGTTTTGAAAGAAAATAAAAATTAGATCAAATAAAACCTTCTTGTCGTTGTTCAATTTCAGTTTTTTTATTATGTTGTTCTTGAATTTGTTCTTTTAATACTTCATCTTTTTGTTCTTTCCATTGTTGATAACCAGCTTTAGAATCCTAGAATATATTATTTTTGATGTAAATTATAAATATTTAAAATAAATATATATTATAACTTTTTGTTTTTCTATTCTTTTGCTTATTTCTAGTTCTTTTTGTCGACGTCTAAATTCATTTTCTTCTCGTTTTTTTTGTATAATTTCTTTTTCTTTTTCTTGACGCCATCGTTCAAGTTTTTGTGCATCTTGACGAATTCGACGTTCAACTGTAGATTTATCAACAAGTTTTATTTTTTCTTCTTGCCAACGTTTTAATTCTTCTTTTTCACGTTTTTTTCTATGTTCTTTATTTTTTAACCATTCAAGATAAACAGCATCTTTTATTGATTGACTTGAATCATTACGTAATTGACTTGTATCTAATTCATCAAAATTTATTGAACGATGCGTATTAATACGTGGTTGAACATGTTCATAAGCTGATAATGATCGACGTCGTTGACTTCCACCACTATGATTACTTGTTGCTGATTGTTTTCTTGAACGTGCACTTTGTGGTCTTGGTAATGTTTGTAATTGAAGTTCTTTTTTAAGTGCACGTTCAATAGATTGTGATAAATCCATTGTAGAAACGGATTTTCGACCAGTATCAACACGTGATGTAATTTCTTGATAACGAGATGGAACTTTATATTTTTCTTTTTTATTAATACCTCCTATGGTTGCTTTTTTTGAACTTAATTTTGGTCTAGGTGGAAGATTTGCAGAAGAACGAGGAGGAGGTGATGGTGGTGGTTGAGGTTGAAGTGCAGCAGCAAGTGCTTCATTATTTGATGTTAAAGGATCAAGTGTAGGTGGAATATTAGCAGAAGTAATCGTATCAATAGCTGCTTGTGTTTGTTGACGTATTGTATTTAATTTAGCTGATGTTGGTCGTGATTGAGGTTTTTGATTTGTTGAAGGAATAATTGATTCTTGATCTTCACAATATGATGAACGTCGAGCAGATTCAACTTCTTTTTTACTTGCTGAACCAGGTCGACTTGATGATAATTGATTTTGAATAACATTGGAATTAGTATCCTAAAAAAAAAAAAGAATGAAACTTAAGTGGAAGATGAAGCATTTGAATATTGGTTTTCATTTTTTGTTTTCTCGAAACTTATCAGATTTTATTGGAATGTGTTGATTTATTTTCCGGTTACTGATTATCATTTTACAATAGAAAAATTTGAAGAATGAAAGCTCTTTTCTAATAACATTGCCTACTTCTAATATGACATATTTCTTACATAGGAAAACAGAAATAAATCGTATTGCTTAACAATTGTGTCAAGAACTTGACCAATGACAAAAAAACGAACAAACAACTTCAAATCTATCGGGAATAAAATCCATGGTGAAGACTATTATTTCTATAGACTTAATGATTTTTTGACGCTATAGAGTTAAACATTATATTTAAATATAAACTATTGTGAGCGCCTTTTATTTATAATCAAGTAGACTTAATTGATCCTACGATCTTACATAAATCGAATGTAACTTCGGAAATATGTTGAAGTCTATTATTTGTTCAGATTAATATTAAACTTATTTATTTTAATATAGTGTAAATTAGATTTGATATAGATCATCATAGTATCATTTTAAAACTCTTCAAATTAGAATTTTTTTCAATAGTAATAGATAACTTCTGAATATCTAAACCGTTAATCAATTATCAGAATTGAATGAATCAAGTATGTCTATTTCATATATAGATTACCTGCATTAATTCATGAGATAATTGTTTTTCTTTTCCAAAATTTTGTCGTTGTGATTGTTTTTTGGAAAAATCATCATCATTATCACTTTGATCTATTGATTCTTTACTTCGACTACTATGTTTTTGTGTTTGTAATTGATCAATACTTGTTGATGAATGTTGAGATTTTATAAAATCTTTATGTGCTTTTGATTGTCTATTTAAAAGATTTTCATCATCACTATCTATAGGTTTTTTATTGTCATGATCATTTGAAAATTTTGAACGAGTTTTTTGTGTATCAGATATACGATCAATTGAAAACATATCTGTTGGTGATTTTCGTTTTTTATCATTTGCAAATGTTTGCATAAATGATTGATTTCTTTCTTCTTCTTCATGTCGTGTTAATATTTGATGTCTTGGACTTGGTTCTATTTTTGTTTTACCAAATACATTTCGTTCATTATCATCATCATCATCATCACTAATACCAGTATGACGTGGTTTTACTTTTGGTTTTTCTGTATCTTTTTTAAGAAATGAACGTTCTTTTGGTTTTGGTGTTAATTGACTTGTTGTAGCAGTTGATGAACTTCGATCTGTTTTAGTAGTTGTATCATCATCCGAAGTATTTAAACTATCATCATCATTATCATCATCATTAATTTTTTTTAAATTTATTTTAAAATCTGATTTTTCATTATATTTCGGTATTGTTTGTGTCATACTAAAATTTTTTGTACCAATACTACCAGGTTTTGTAAAACGTTGTGTTTGTAAAAGTGGTGATGGACGATCAAGATCATCATCATCATCGTCAGAAATCAGATTTCTGCTCATCGTTACTTAAATTTTTAATAAAAATGAAGAATTTATATGGTTGCTAACTTTTTTTTTGTCTTTTATTTGCGTACTGATACCATTAGTAATAAATATATTAAGATTGTACTTAGTAACATACTTAAGGATGATATAAATTATTTTTCAAATAAATTAAAATTTAGAAAATTAATTTTTATTAAAGAAAAAAAAAAAAATTTTTAGATGAAATAAATAATTTAAAATAAAACTTTAATTAAATATTATATGGTTTAAAATTATCCAATCAAATTTAATTTGTAACATAGTTGATGAATCATTTTGTACCGAGTCGAGTTTCTTTTATTTTTTTTTGGTGTGAAGAAATATGTGGCAAAAATTCAAAATTTATTCAAATTCTAACATAGACAATAAAAAAAAACTAGAAATTGAATGATTATTTGCATATTTACGAAATATATAACAAGCAAAAAGAATAATTTAATGGAATAATAAGACGAACATTTTTAAAAGCATTTGAAAATTTTCAATTCTATATATATGAAATGTAAATATTTTATTTAACCAATCAAATCTATGGATTAATATTATTCAATATACAACATTGAAAAATATGTTTATTTGTCAATACTCAATGAACTATTGTATTTAAATTTAAAATTATAATTTTCACACACATGAAAAAAATAAAAATATGTCAATGAAGTAATCAAAAAATGAACCGATATATATATATTCAAATTGTTCTATTGTTGATCTTCAACAAAAATAAATTTGCCAAGGCCGTAATGAAACAAATAATGAATTATTATTAAGATAATCAACTAAATGTTAAGTATATTGTAATTATTTGTATATATTAACATTTATATTAAATAAGAATAAATAATAGTTAAAAAAAATTATCAACGAAAGTAAAATAAATTTTTATTCAACAATAATCTTTTATTCTTATACAGATATTTCGAAAATTTCATTCAATTTCAAATTCCCCTTATTGATGATCCCAGACAGACAAACATTGAAAGTTATAATATAAGAGTGTAGAGAGGTAACAAAAATAACATTTTTTCGTTAATAATTTGAAATAGTCAACAAGTTAAATTTTTATTAATAAAAAAAAAAAAAAAGAAATTTATGATAATTGACATAAAAATAAAATTCTAATTTTTCAATTGTTTTTCTTTTCTTTGCCTGAAAAGATCATCTTTTGTTTGATTAATCAGTACAATCTTCACCAAGGAAACGACTGATTCCAAAGCATAAGAGCCATATAAAAATATAGTCGTCAGTGATTAATTTTAGAATAGACAGTTACAACATTGAAAATAAATTGTTTCATACATACATTTTCAAAACCATAAACTTATCACCGCAAGCTATTTTCAATTGAAATAAAGACGAATTTTAAATCAATACTAATTGTGCGAGAATAAATAATATACGTCTATTGAAATAACTCCCTCAGTAGTCATTATATGTATATATACTATTCTATTTCTCTTAGACATCAAAATTTTTCTTTTTATTTAGATATGCATACTACTAGTTACAATTAACAAACATAATGATTTCTTTAATCAGTCTATGATAACATATTTCGAATGTTTTAAGTTTTCAATATTATGTTTTTAAAATAAAATAAAATAAAAATATTTATATTATATTTTTGATTTATTTTATTCTATGTTTTTTTTTTCAGATCGATTAGTTAATATTGTGTCTTTTATTTTATTATTCTTAAATTGGTAATGAATCAAAAATGAATACTAAAATTCAATTAGGTCTTATTATTAGTTGTGGTTTAATAGGTGTACTTATACTAATTGGTATTATAGTTTTATTAACAAAATTTTTTATGAGACGTTTTCGTAAAAAAGCTTGGGATGAAATAAATGCATTACCAAAACAATCTGATTCATTAGAAAATAATATAAATTATCGTAAATTAAATAAACGTAGATCAACAGAACGTCAACCATTATATCAATCAGCAACAAATAATGCTATGAATATATCTGATGGACAAATATCTATTCCAATTAATGAGAATAATACATCATTGGATTTACGTCAATATGAAAGTACAAAAGTACATGAACATACAATTGTAGAAATTCAACGTGATCGTTTAAATCATATTAAAGAAGAAGAACAACGTATTAGACCTATGATAGGTACAACTGATGGTGAAGATATTATACAACGTACTATTGATGAAGTACAAAAAGAATTTGATGAATCGGTATGATTTACATAATTATTCGATTGATTAAAACTTATTCTTCTCTATCTCTATCTCTCTCTCTATATATATATACATACATTTCGAGAATGATTCTCATCAAGAATAATTTCCATAATTGTTTATTTCGTTTCTTTGTTTTTGTCATGGATTTTAACGTTAAAGTCTTTCATTTGCATGGAAAAAAAATATATGTGTTAAATTTTGTTTTTGTGTTTTGTTTTGTGTATTATAGTTAAGTACAGCTGCTATCAAAATGAAACATCATCAAGATAACTAAAGTCAGCTAAATTAAAAAAAAAAAAGAAGACTAACTATTCCTATTATTATATCAATTATTGATCTGTTTTTTTTTATTATTCTTCTCTTCTCAGCTTTATTATACTTTGCTTCTTGCTTATTTTCTTCCATTTTGCTCAAAATAGCATCTCCATGATTAATCTTCTGTATTCGATGTCTTTGTTTTGTCGTTGAAATCTCTATTTGTATGAATGAATTTATTTGTCGAAATGAATGGAAAAAGTAACATTGATGTATCGAATGATTATTTATTTTTAAAGAAATAAATAGAGATGGTTGCCTGATTGTTTTAATCAAAACTGAATTATTATATTTTTTTTACTTTGTTTTTTTTCTACCATCTTTAATATGTTATAAAGATAATGAATTATTCAACATATGATGTTTAGTGCTATACCTTCATAACGAAGCATTTATGATTAAATGATTTTTGTTCATTTCATATATATAACTGTTTCTGGTGATATCAATGCTGGTTTCTAGATGGAAAAAAAAGTAATGTTTTAAAGTTAATTTGATGTGCTATAGAATCTGAACGAATAAAAAATTATTTTTGCTAAGAAAAAATGCTTTTTAGAAAATAAGTCTCTGAAGTTCTTGCAAACGGTCTTGTATTGAAATTAGCATGGTTGATAATCTAAACTTCACTATATCGGAATTATATTTGTCAACCTTTATAAAACCATCAGTAGGTTTGTACGTGACAGTCCTGTGAGCTACTCTCATTGTAGAATTTCGCCTCAATGACTGTTCGATTTGCAAGCTTCAAATGGTTAGTATTGCTGTTTTTTTAAGCTTTCGTAATGTCCGCACTTTTCACAGATACTTATTTTTGTTTGATGAAATAAACGATTGATCTAATAGCAACAACTTTCTAGAAGAATATTTTGCTTAATTGAGTTCATTATCAGCTTTAACTCATCAATTTATATTCCTTTATTTGATTTAATTAAAATCTATGAATTCATCTCGTACAGCGAAGTCTCATGAAGTTAAAATGAGATTATTCAACGGTTTACAATATCTATACTAGATCCAACAATTGACTTAGTAATCGTGCAAAAAAAATAGTTCGCATCAAGAATCTCATTAAATACTTCGATAATTGAAAATAGACATTCTCTATAGAATCGACAAATGAGTATTTTGAAGGAAAAAAAACTGAATTCAATAGGTGAAAAGATAGTCAATGTATTTCAAAATATTGAGAGAATCATTCTTTATAGTTCATCTGTTACATAGATCTAGAATCCTAATAACATATAAAATGTTAATTTTGCATTGTCGTATGTATGAAATAATTAAGTATTTTGATTACATGTTTTTCCGTATTATTACATTTGAACAAGTTCATCTTTATTGAAAAGATTCGGTATTCTATTGATTCTGTAGTTTTAGGTAATCTATGTGCAAAACTGAGTTTAAAAGTTATTTTCAAATCTTCAATTTCTTCTGCAAGAACGTTCTTATTTATTAAGAGAACAAGTAAAAAATTTCTAGAAGGCAGAAATAAAATGAAACACTTATTTATTGACATAAATGAATCATTGATTTTATGCGTAAAAATTAGTAAAACATTTTTAGCGTTATGACTAATATGAAATTCCGCAAATGCCGAAACATTAGACATTATTTTAAACAAAAAAAAAAAAGAAAAAATTCAAGACCGATCTAATATTCGTTTATTATTTCCATGTAAGTCATCAAAGGTTATCAAAGTACTCTGACTATATGTAAGCATAATAATCGATTAAAAATTAATGTCAAGAACATTGACATTTTTAGATAAGTTACCTATAGATTATAAATGAAGAATATTAAGTTGTGACTTTTTTTTTTTGATCTGAAACGATAGTTTTTATCCAATGAAAAACATATATTGAACTATCAAATGATTATAGTGAATTACTATACTATAAAAAAAAACGACATGAATAGTACGATCTTATAAAAATTAATAGAATTTAAAAGAAAAAAAAAATGTATTTGAATTTTCTGTTATTCCATAGTCATGTATAATAATTTTAAAAATCTTTGCTTGAGAAACACTTTGTTTTTTTTGTCTGTTGATAATTAGAAACTTTAAAATATGAATATATTAGAAAATTTAAATCTTTAAAATAATGATATGATAGTTTTATTTCATTGCAAACTTTTCCTTAAGGTCATTGAGTAGTTTTTAATTAACGTAATCTTATCTTCACATAATCAAAAGAAAAGAAAATGTACATCTATTCATATAGTATTATATTCATTTTAGAAAGTAACAGGTAACATATACGATTAAATCAAACGATTGAGAATATGAAATCAAAATATCCGTAATTTATTCTTCGGATATTGATCAAAAAAGGTAATTTGAACGAAAAAATATTTTTCTATATATTTTTTTTTACTACCTTTACAGTTATCTTCTTCAAGTTTTTTTTCCCCTCTGTTATTTTAATGTGCTTCCGTCGGCTAATGTAAATCAGTTGTAGAGACAACTTTATTCAATTTTTTTTTTCATTATATGTCCTTTAACGAGTCTGTAACGTATGCCAATCGGTTATTATTATTCCTTTTTTCTTTTTATGTTAACATTTTTCTTTTCTATTTGGAAGATCTAATATAAGTTATATCACTATAAAATCCTCTTTTGATAAGTATACAGATGATTCAATTTCTAGCAAATATACCAAAGATAATTTATTACATTTTAACAAATGCTCGTGATGAGTGTGTTTTTTACGATTCGATAGACATACCGCATACGCATACGTTGAGCAAATAAGCAGTCCTGTATCCTTTTTCTTTTTCTGTCTGTCCGTCTGTCTGTCAATGCATAAGTAGTGTCATAGCGAAAAGTTTAACGCTTTAAATGTGCTGTTTATTGCACTTCTTCTCTTTTTCTTTCTCTCTATATTCGATGCCAACCTTACTATTGCATCGATATTTGTCCTTCAATAATACAGGTAAAATCTAATCACTATTTATTTTTTTTTTATGTGCCAATACAACCATATAAAAATGTAGACTGATCAATGTCACTGTATAATGAATAATTATAAATATGAAATCATATGTACTAGAACTTGACAATTAGTAGAATGAAACATAGTTTGACTATGAAGAGTTGTAAAGTTATGTTCGAATAATTTTAGTGTTCAAATCGACAAAAAAAGAAAAAGAGAGAAATGATAACATAGGATTTAGAAGTACATGTGCAAGGTTATATGTATCAATGATTGTTGTATTAGCATCTATTCCAATATATTTAATCATAGGTTGACGAGTATTGTTGAGTAATCTAACTCAAGGATTATTTCTAAATGAATCGATTCGTTATAATCAAACTAAAATAGAAATTGGTAAAAAAAAAAAATTAATTAATATTCAACATGAACTAAATTATATTAAATAAACAATATTTTCATTAATAAGTGTTATCAATTTATTGAATCGATGAAATATTCATGTTTTTATGATTTTCTTTTTTTTGTTCCGGTTATATAAAGAAATCTATATTTATAGTTGTTGAAAAAGTAAAGGAAATAATATATGACCTTGTTCATGAAATATTTGTACAAGATTTTCTTTTATTAATTGTTGAATAAGATCATTTTTTTTTTTTTGGAACATCAAAAATAATTTATATATTTGATTTAATGATTTCATATTATTTAAATCGAATAGAATCGAATCTTATAAAGTTATTTTATTTTTAAAAAAATAAGTTTTGACTCTATTATATAATATTTACTAGGAAATAATCGTCTACTCTATTATAAGTCAATATGTGTTAGAAGAATTCATTAGTATTTTTACTAAAATCATGTAAAATTTCAAGAAATCTTTAGAGAAATTCATCGAAAAACATAATATAAAATATCCGATTTTTTTTTAAGCAGATTATATTCGATTGATAAAAGACTATACTGTATTGACGTCAATCTTCATCTCAAATCATATTTAAAGATAATTATTTTCATTGAATAATTCTTTAATGATAGTTAGACAAAAGCAAAATCTACAAATCTATCAATAAAAACACTGTTTAATAAAGTTATAGACATTGATTTTCATTTGTTTGAAGTACATGAAATAAATATTTTTATATACTCTTAGAAATTTTATTACAGATGAAATTAACAATAAATATGACATTATAAATCTACAAACAATCATCGACAGTTTAGATTTTGTTTTTAAATTAATATTTAAACTGAAAAAAAAAAGAAAAAAAAAACACATCTGTCCTTGCTTCAATGACATAAGTTTATTTGTCTAATTATAAATGACAAGTTTTTGAAAACAATTTTTCTTTTGAGGTTTACAACAGAATGCAACATGTGTAGGTGTCCTTGGCCTTTTTTGTTCCTTTTACATCGGCATTTTTTTTTAATGCTGCCGTATGATTCATAATGTGTGTTCTTTGTTCTCATTTTTTTTTTCTCTTTGTCGGATCGAGACAACAAAATGACATATATCACAATTTTTTCGTTGTTTTTTTTCTTCTTTTCGTTGTTCTTCATCTTCAATCTATTAACATTGTTCTTTCTTCGTCTGTAGGGGCGGTGATGACGATGACTAAATAAACTTCAGTCATGTTGCAATTAAAACTTGGAATATGAATGAACGATAGAAAAAGAAAAATTGAACCTTTTCTTCTATTTGCATCCGTGCGACAATAAGACAGAGCGGAGGCAAAAGAAAAAGTTCATATTCTTTCTCTTTTCTATACTTACGGGCAAATTACACTTCTTTCATTCAGTCGGGCCCGTTAGCGAGTAAGCAGTAAGCGAACATAGGAAGCGCGCGTGTGGCATATATTTTTCGATCTTCATCTATGCTATACTACCTTTTATGAGACCAAACACAGAGAAAGAATAAAAAGAAAAAGAAAGAAAGAAAGAAAGAAAGAAATGAGTTTCTCTTGATGTATAGTCAAGTCACTGTCAACGATATATATTAAAAGAAAAAGAAGAACATAAACAGGTAAATTGTCACATTCATTTTTTTTTTTCGTCAATTCAATTGATCTTTTCTTTTCCTCTTTGAAAAAAAAAAGAGATCTTTACATCAAGGGAAGACTATGTAATGCAAAGCATGTTATAAAATCTTGAAATTATATTGGAAGAAAAAAAAAAAAAAGAATCGAATCGTCATATCAAGATCTTTTTCTTTATTTCTCTCGTAGTAATTGATTCATATCTTTCAAAAATTACTAATTCATTTTTTTTCCTCATCATATTAATGTGTGACCAAAAAAACTAAATTGAATTCTTCACATACATAAAAATACAGGTGAAAGAAAATGTGCTAGAGAACGACAAAAAATAAAAAGAAATTATTGATTTTAAAATTTTGATAAAAATGTAATAAAAAAAAAAAAAGAGAAGAAAATTAAACATAGTTGTCTTTACACTATACTAAATGTTACGTAGAAGTTGAATCATATATGAAGATGTTCGTTTAGTGATATGAGTAATATTTATTTTTATTTAGAATAGTCGTTTATTTTCTTTACTTTAGATAATAATAATAATGACAAAACAAGCGATATTTCTTCATTATTTTCTAATATCTATTTTATCCATAAATTCTCAACAACTTCAATGGATTTTACTTAGCGATGGTTCAAGTGGAGATACACCAATGCCAAGACGTGATGCTGCACTTGGTTATGATTCTGTATTTCTTATTTTATATGGTGGTCGTGATCAATCTGGAATGCCTCGTCAAGATAGTTATGCATTCAATCTTCTTCAAGGTTTTATCAAATTTGATCATATATGATTTTTCAATAATTCATATTTACTATTTCTTTTTTTTTAATGTTAGGTCTATGGGAACCACTTAATTTTCCAAATGCACCATCTAGTCGTTATGGTATGGCATCGGCTAGTGCAATAGGCAGTGGTTTATATATATTTGGTGGTTTTGGTATGCAAGGTTCATCACAATTTTATAATCCATACATAGGATATGGACAATCAGGACTTGCTAGTTATAAACAAAATCCAGCAGGAGGAGCAGATAAACAAAAATCAAAAACTATGACTAAACGAGAGGCAGCTGCTATGACGAAACAAAATCCAGGAGTAATGAATCCACAAAATTTTAATCAAATGAATCCTATGGGACATAATAATTATAATAATGATGATGATCGTGCTGATGAAAATTTTTATGCATTACCAGATTCTTGGTTTCTTAGTTATGCGTTAGTAATTCTTAAAGAATTATGAATTTATTTATTTATTTTTTTGATTTGCTATTTTATTTTTAATTAGAACAAAAAGTTGGCAACAAACACAAACATCTCAATATGGACGTGGTTTTGGTTCAGCAGCTGCAACACCATATTCAAGTGGTTTACCAAGAATTATTTATAGTATGGGTAAATCACGTGAATGGATGTATTCAACTGTTGAAACAAGTAGTCAAGTTACATCAGGTTTTAATCCAATTGGTGCTGGACAAGGAGCTATAAGTAAATTTTTTTTTTCTAGGAAAAAATATTTCCTTCATATTAAATTAATCAATATATATATCTTTTTTTTTTGTTTTGAAAATAGTTATGTATGATTTATCTTCATTTAATCCATCATATCCACATGCTCGTTATGGTCATTCAACAACATTACTCACTGATAATCATCTTTTACTTTATGGTGGTTGTCTAAGGTAAAAGAAACATAATATTAGTCATCAGTTTGACTCATTGAAAAATTTACTGATGACTTTTTTTTTTCTTCCTAATGATTCATTTTCTTTTTTCATATCAATATTTATGTTATATCTAGTGGTTATGGTAAAGGTGGTCCATGTCCATCAACAGATACATGGTTATTACATATTGATCGTGGACATTGGGAACGTCTTTGGGAATGTCCAACAACAAAAACAGGTGCTGCTATGGTTACACTTCCATCATATAGTGTGTGTGCATCTATGGGTCAAGGTATATTTGGTGGATGGTCAGGAGGTAATATAGGAAATGAACCACCAGTAGCTGTCTTATGGGGTGGTCGAGAATTTAATCCATCATCTATTCGTGTAAGAATTTATTTTTAACAAAAGAATTAATTGTTGAATTTGATTGTATTTTTTTTTTAAATTTTAGTCTTATATAAGTCCAAATGATGAAGTTGCTGTATTTAGTTTAAGTCAAAAAGAATGGTTTTTAAAAAGAGCACGTCCATCATCAGTAAGTTTAAATAATATTTTAAATAATTCTTCTTCCGATATAATTCTACAGTTCTTCTACTTCATTTTTTTTGTTGAAATAAATAAAGAAATTACGGGTTAGTTTTCTATTCTTTCGCTGATTATGTTTTTTTTTTTTTTATTTTTCAATGTATTATATTGAGATACAGCATGATTGTATAATGCATGAAAGCTACCTGTCGTTTAATTTCGATATAGAACTTATATATAGATATAAAAAATTATCTTATATCATTATAGGAGGGTGGTTTTCCAATACAACGAGAAGGTGCTGCTTATGTTGCTGGATGTTTTCAAGGTGCTCCTGGTATGTTTGTCTATGGTGGACGAAGTGTTATGTAAGTATTTATCAATAAGATTTTTCATAATCGTTAAATTTATCATGAACATGATAAATAAAAGATGTGAAAAATTAAGTTTTTCTTCGTTGATATTCTTTAGCTGACCAATCGATAAGCTTTGAAACTATATAACAAGACATCGGATTGTCACTTTTTGAAAGATCAAGGACTGAGGATTAGTACAGTTCTCGAAAGAAAGAATCAAAATAAAAAAGATTTTTTTCTAATACATATTGTATTCTTAAATCATCGAAATCTATTGAATAAACACAGAGAAGGAAATTTGAATATGACTACTTTCAATTAAGTTTTGTTGAACATTTAACGGTTACTAGTTTTTTTCAGATTAATTAACATTTGTATATTTAAGAAAAAAAAAAGTTATTTCTGAATACTTTTAATAAAAGAAAAATTTTTCGCAAACTTTATATTCTATATAGAGAACTTATTTGATCATCAACTGATTTGTATGATAAAATATAAAATCTATACATAAATATTTTTTTGCAAAAATTCAAAACACGAAAATTTGTTATGATCATATCTTCATTATGTATTTCAAAATCTATTGAGATCTCATAAATCTTTTCTACCAAGAACTTCTATGATATGTTAAAATTGAAATTTCTTTATTTTTGTAGAATTTTCTCGGAAAAAGTTTTTTTTAAATATAATCTTTTTTTTTATAGCAATCGTCGTTTACTTTCGGATCTTTGGTTTTTACAAGCATCACCACAAGATGCAATAAGTGCACCTGGTTCACGTCGATGTATTTATCCATTTTCATTTTATCATCTTCATGGAATATTTCAATTTTTTACTTATGGTGTAATCTTTCCAATTGGTTATTTAGTTGGTCGACATGCAAAAAATTTATCTGTTAGACGACCATTACATATGGCTTTACAAGTAAAAAAACATATTTAATGTTGAATTTTTTGTTTTGATAAACATTTTCTTTTAGCTTTTTGGTGTTGCATTAGCTATTTGTGGTTTTGCTTTTGGTGTACATTCTGTTCGTGCTCCAGCATGGCTTCATTTTAAACATGCACATGCTATTATTGGTATAATTACATTTATTTTAACAATTATTCAATTTTTTGCTGGATTGTAAGTTAAATTTTTTGAAATTTAATCTAAAAAAAACTCTAGTAGATGTTTAATATACGATCACAAATTGTATATCACATTATAATAAATGAATCACTTTCTTATTGCATATCTGACAGATTAAATAAAAGGATGATGACAAAAAATTTGTTCGAAAATAGATAGAATAGAATAATCTGTTGGTGATTCATATTTGAAATCCATAGAAAATTGTACGCACATAGTTTTATTTTTCTATTCTTATTCATTTATTTTTCAGAGCTGGTGCTGTTTTTCTCAGTATGCATGATAAAAAAAATGAAAGTTTTATTGAAACAGATAAAAAATATACTCAACAAATAAAACATCGTGATACATGGGGTGGTGAAGGTGCATGGCGTATTGGTCATCGTATTTTAGGTTTATTAATATTAGCACTTGGTTTTGTTAATATATGTTTAGGTGTTTTTCTTGCTGTATTACCATTACCTGTTTGGATTATATGGTATATTTATTTTGGTTTTCTTGTCTTATTAATTATTGGTCTAGAAATTGTTGCATTATTACGTCGTGATTCTTCTGGTAAATCTAAATCATATTCACATACAGGTAAGAAAATAAAATAAGATAGACTTATTCAACAAAAAAGAAGAAAAAAAAAACAAAATGATCGATTCTATAGTTAATTATTTCATAGAAATCTATTATCTAGATAAATATGTTATATGTTAATTTCTAATAATGAGTAAAGAATGAAATAAAACAGAAAAAAAAAAAAAAAAGAATAAATAAGTTATTTATTATTATCTCCAATGTAGAAAAACGAGAGGATCCAAAAGGTACATCACAATCATCATTAAAATATTCAGATGAACCAACTGAACAACATGGAACAGCAATACATATACCACGTCAAGGTGGAAGTCGTGTTGTACCACCAGAACCATCAAAACGTGATACTAGTTTACATCGACGTGGTGGTGGAACTAATGGTGATGATATGGCACCACTTATACCTTCACAAAGACAACCAAGACTTGGTGATGTTACTTCATCAGCTACACTTCCTCAATATCCTCGACCTAATGAAAGAGAATATCCAATACCACCACGAAAAAGAAGTGGACCATCTGAAAGTAGTGGTTTTGATTATTATGTTGGTTATGCACCTGAAAATGAACAACCTTTGCCGTACGTTCAGTATTTCATCATCATATTTTGCTTATGCTATATATTTATGCTTAAATCTACTATTGTGTATTTTGCGCTTATACTTTGCTTATTTTATGCTTGATAAAAAAAAATTTTCTTGATAATTATATTGATAATTTTAACTTTTTTTGTTTTATTAATTTTAGACGATCGACAATTCAGCAACAAAACGAGCACAATCTCACTCGAATTAGGCTCCAATAAACATTTATCTACACCAAATTCTCAACAAATAAATACCGGCCAATATTCTTCATCCACAATACGTTCCGATAGATTTCCATTATATCGACGAAATTAAAACAAAAGTGAAATATGTGTTTTATCTATGAGTGAATGAGTTTGATTGTTGTTTTTTTTTGAGTTCTTATATTTCTCAGTGGAAGATCTATATGTATGCTATTGGTTGTTTGTGTTTCTTCTTTTTTTGGTAGTTTATATTAATTATCTATTGGCAAACGTCCTTTTCTTTTTCCAGAATTATTTTGAAGCGCTTTTTGTCTTCTTTTTTTTTCTACTACAGTGTTGTTCTTCATTTTCTTCTTTCTCAAAAACTTTTTTGTATATTTTTCTTCGTGCGTTCATGTTTATTTGTATGTATTTACTATTGTCATCAATATATTCATAATTTTTATATATAAAATGGCAAGTTTGTTTTTTTTTTTTTTCTTTTACATTTTTCTAAATGGAATCCAAATTGATATTTGAAAAATACATTTTTTCTATTAAAACTCATAATTTTTAGAATATGTATGAGATTTATTTCAAATTATTATCTCAGATCGAGATGTTTTTTTTTTATGCGTGGTAGAAAAAACAAATTCGAGTGTGCATTGTTAGCTGATTGCGGTTATTTACTATTTGTTTTGACTAACGTAAGAGGCGACGATTGTGTCAATATATATATTTCGTATTTGATGCTTACAATGGATTTAGTTTTAACGATAAACTATCTAATGATTACTCATTGTGTACTTATATTTGTAGACGATATGATCGATGAAAGAGAAACAGTGTTTTATAAGACACACAAATTCTAATATGAAAAAGAAAAAGTTAAAAAAAAAATATTTTTTTTTAATATGTAGTGAATCATTTTAGATACTTATCTCGAATGATTATTTCAGAAGAACAAGACTCTTGCGAAGGAAGTACATCAATTATTTCCGAGCTTTGAACTTCATCTTATGACTATAAATAGATTCCAATGAGACTAAGAATAATCTGAAAATGTTCTTGTCAATGACTCTTCTTACCCAAGATACGATCAGATGTATGTCAAAACAATTGACTTTTTTATTATTGTTTATCAATATGGTTTTTCTTTATTTTATTGACTCAAAAAATAACTCTTTTCATAACTAATCCTGTAATGATCTGTTTGCAGAATTAATTTCAATTTAATGTTTTTTTTTGAGCTACGAAGTACGTAGCTTTGGATGTGGTTCTAGGTCTTCTACTCGACCATATTCTAGACACAAATGTCGAAGTTTTCAAAATGGCTAACTTATATGAAAAGTATAGGATTGAAAATCAGTTCGATCATGATTGAGCAACATCAACAGATGACGATGATGAACTATATAACCAAGTAACTGAATAGATGAAGAGAAAGATACATTACTAAAGAAACAGGTGAACACGTGTTATCTTGATGGAGAAGTTTATGAATTACACTAAATAGTATATTTTTCATATAAGTTAAAACTCTGAAAGCAATGCTGTGACTGTGAAAACATATATTCGATGTTAATTAGCTCCGATCTGAACCCGAATTCGGTCGCAAGAAGTTTTTTTTCGCGTATGACACTACAGCAAAAGCTTATACAATAAACATTCAAGCATCTTATCACATTTAGATCAATTTACGAAACTATTCTGATTTAATAGTTTATTTTTGTGCTCATCGTCTATGTATCAGATCAAATAATTTCACAAGAAGAAGATTTAGCTCTAATAAAATAATTATAATATAGTTTTTCTAAGTTTCAAATAGTATTTATGATTTTTTTCGCAGGAAGATTATTGTCATTTAACTAGTCGTTGTTAATGGTCCAAAATCAACTGAAAACACCATGATTCTTTATAGACTTTTGAAATTCATAATACCGAAAGTGTTCAGACGATTTAATCTAGATAAGAACCGTCGGCAAGACTTCGATATGATGTGAGCTATATTGGATGTATTTTAGCAATTGAGCAGTACGGGATTCTCTCACCATCATTCGATAGTCATATACTAATATCAGTTCTCTAATCGACTATCTACTGCTATTACACTGTCAGTTCTAAGAAATACCGTAATAAAATGGCTATAATGCGAACGTAGCACAGCATGATATGATAAGATGTTGAGTGAAACAACTTGTATTAATAATCAGAAACTTCCAGCATTTCTTTTATAAGCCAAGTTATATATCGCACCTTCAAACAAAACGAATTAGAGAGAAAGTGATGACGAGACTCACACTTAACAAGGAAAATCAGCTCAGTATGAGAATTGACTATTCAAAACTTTGAGTTTCTTTTAATTCAGTCAAAACATGTTATACGTGTCATTATATAAATCTCAGTAGCTCCTTCATAATGATCACAAGTTTGATAAAGTCAGATAATTCTAATCCTTGTAAAATCAACGTAAAAAACAAAACAAATTTTGTATTCAATTGAAATTGTAAGACATAACACTTCAAAGAATCAGAAAAATTTACTATTCGTAATTTACACTGATAATTTTAGTCTATAATAATCATGACTTCACTTGAATAATACTTACATAGTTTGGTTGTACTTCAAGAACACAAATTTTTAATTAGTAGCTCAAATTTCTTCGTCTCGACACATCGCAAATATTATATTAAACCAACCTTTGCCGTACAATCTATGTTTCGACATATGATATCAATTCATACGTATTCCTGTATAAAAAGAATATTCATCCATAAGATTAAAATCAATGGAAATCCGATTGTTCTTCATTTTCTTCACATGCATAGCTCAATTGTCCATTCAATCAGTTTTGTGTACGAGAAAGAAGAATCATTCAATCAAACAATTGATAAACAGCTCTATCTTATGTATTGAATAGAATCACTTTAAACATATCATTGAGAAATGATTCTTCATTTGAAAATCTTCCTCATCCTGAATTTTTATTTTTTAAATACCATACTACTGGAAGGTAGATGATGCCATAATTTAAATACAATTCGGCAGATATTTAAAATGTTTTTATTGAGAATTTATTGCCTAGGGAAATAAATCCAATGAGAACAAAAGAAATTTTTTGTAGAATACAATTAGCTTTTCATATATTGTCTTCTGTGAGTAATCAGAATAAAACCTTTTAAACTATTGGAATCGAACAACAAAATGATATGGGTGAGATCTTTAGTCGACCTACATCTGCACTCTATTACCGTTATTTCAACCTCTTTTCGTCCTTGATGAAAGTAATCGGTTTACTAATAGTATGATTGTACTCTTGTACTAATTTATTTATTCAATTCAATATGCGAAATATATAGTCCTTCTAATCAATATTATTCATAGTTAATGTTTGATAATATTTCTATTTTTTTTTCTCTAGATGAAAAATACAAAATGTTTCAGGTAGTTGTCGAGCAATTTAATGTCATGTCAGTTATGCTTTTGGCATCTTTCTACCTTGAAAAATAAAATAATGAATAAGTCGCATTCAAGAATATTGAAAAGAAACACAGATTCTCTGTAATTCTTTTTTCACTTCAAAAGTTTCTTTATGTATGTTTATTAGGGTGAATCAATGTTGTATATATATATAACAAAAAACTATTCACATTCACTTTCATATTATAACTGCACGTCTATAAGTATGAAACTGCGACAATTCTTCTTATTTGCTTTCACCTTTTGTGTTTTGGTCATTGCAATTTCTGCTACCAATCGTGACTGTAAGTGTATATCAAAATTCTATTCTAAGAATATCTTTTTAATTTGCAATTTAGTTGACGATGATGATGATGATGATGATAATGATGATAATGAATATCGTCAGCTTAGGGGATTTCTATGGCCTAAGAAAAGTACAACAAATCATGCAACGATAATCTGGACTCCAGAAACTACACAGTCACCTTGGAATCCATCATCAGAAGCATGTTCATCTAATCCTTGTGAACATGGTGGTATTTGTACTCCAAGAGGACAAAGGGGATTTGATTGTAGATGTGTTGGTCCATGGCGAGGTGTCTATTGTGGCATTGGTATGTTTATAAATTATATCCATTATGTATTAAGCTGTTTAATTTTTCAGCTGATGCATGTTATCGTTCGTCGTGTCAAAATGGAGGTACATGTATGAATGTAATTGATGATTATTGGTGTAAATGTCCAACTGATTATTACGGTAGATAATAAATTGGACTTTGTTGTATTGAATCTTCTGTCTGCTATATTTTTTAGGAAAAAATTGTGAATCAAGTAGGTTGATGTTTTAATAAGATTTAATGTGATTATTTTTTGCGGTTTTTAGGATTTTCTAATCCTGGTGATTCGGGGAATAACTGTCGACCAAATATTTGTAATACTGGTCGATGTGTTTCTCTCAAAACAACTTACTATTGTCAATGTCCAGATGATCGTTATGGTGAACATTGTGAAAAACGTTTCAGTAAGTGTCAATGATAATAATTAAATGATATAGATATTGTTTGTTTTTTGTTAGGTCAATATAAGCGTGGTTCTTCTGGTCAAAAATCGCTTTACGAATTATTAAATCAAGTTAAACGAGATATGCGTGATCAAATGCTTATTGATGATAATGATAATGATGAAACAACTTTTGATGACGATGAAAAATAAACTTTACTTTAGAATTCTTTTTTTATTTGAAAATGAAAAAAAAAATTCTTAAAGCTTAAAAATAAATAGAAGAGAAGAATATCTGAATTGGGAAGATATATTAAAAGCTTCATTACGAGAGAGAAACAGTAGACTTCATGATTGAAGTCTTTGTTATCTCCTCTTTACTTCATCAGTTAATTAAAATCATATGGTTCGTTTGTAAAAAAAGAAAAAGAGTATAGAAAATATCGAATTCAGTTTCTTTTCACCTAATGTGAAGATTCAATGAATGAGATTGATTAATAAACAATTGACAAATTTCATCGTTTCAAATCTAATTCTAAGTGATAGACAAAAAAACACTAAAGTTTCATGTAAAAATTCAATCAAGTTGTAAACACGAAAGACTTCAATCTTGAAGTTACTTAAAATTCTATAAGTCACGTGAAGTTTTTAAGCTACAGGTTTTGTGAAACACAATCTAAAAGGAATGTTGGAGTGTAGGGTAGACATTATAATCACTCTTTTTCTCCCCTCTCGCTAGAGATATGACAATCATTCTTATAATTACATTCATGATTAACTTTTTTTGTTGTTATTTTAATATTTGAGACGATCGGCAATCCAGCAGCAAAACGAACACAATCTCAGTCGAATTAACCTCCAATAATAAACATTTATCTATACCAAATTCTCAAAAAATAAATACCGGCCAATATTCTTCACCGGCTATACATTCTGATTGATTTCTATTATATTGACGAAATGAGAACAAAAGTGAAACATTTTTCTTATGGATGAGTGAATGCATTTAATTGTTTATTTTAGTTCTGTAGGTTCTCACTTGAAGATCTAAGGTGGCTTACAAAAGTCATCTATCCAAAAGAAATTTCTATATTTAGATTAAATGAGTATATTTTTTTTTCTGATGATACAAGAGAATTGCAAGATTTTTTTTTTAATAAGTAAAAAATATTTTTAAGGACGTTTTAAACTATTACTAGCTAGTTACAAGAGAAAAATTTACAGTTGCCATCAAAAATAAACGATAGATTTTTCGCTATCTAGGATATTTTTCCATTTTGGCTCTTTTCAGTAATTCCGCTATAATATCATCATTTCTTAATGAAAATCGAAACTCTTCTGTCCCTGATTACTTATAAAAGTTGGTTGCTTTTATCAGAACTGATTATTAATAGAATATGAATGAAATTAATTTTATTTGTTGGCTTAACTCTTTAAGTATCAACATCTTGAATAAAGAATAATTTGTTTAAGTATCTTAACTTTTGAATAACTAGCAAACGGAAAAGGATATCGAGGTGCGTAGTTTTCAGTATGAAATAGAAGAATCATGGCATTAATAAAAGTCAATCAGATAGTATATTTGACGAAGAAAACCGATGTATCATTTTAGAAGTTTTATTAACAACTAAGACATAATCATAAATGGAACAAGTGTGGATCTCAAGTAAAACGATAGACAGCTTTAGCAGCATTGGATTGACGTAGCTAGTAGCCAATTATCATAATCTGTAATGTATATGTATCATTATACGTATTCTAATCTCGATGATTTCTAGGTCGTCTCCTGCCGATGAACATTTCTAAGAGATTGTTATATGAAAATAATTATATTCAAAAGTCGAATCAGTTCTAATTTGACTTATTTTGAGTTTAAAATATCGACTATACGGCATTGATTCAAGAAGAATAACCTAAACAGCAAACGTCTATCACTAATAAATTCCAACAGAGACACAAATCGATCATCAAAAAGAAAATTATGATGTGATGCATTAAAAGACAAGAAACCGAATCTTACTATTATTGATAATCAAAGATGATGTGCTGTTTGTAGTACAAGTAAAGTTCAAGATAACGCTGCTCGTCATTATTCTCATTGTAAAAGAGTCTTCTGTATGAACTCTTGAAGAAATCATATATAAATATCCTAAGAATATTTTTATAAATAAATGAGGTTTTTCTGTATATACAGGTTGGTTGAAAAGTTTTGAAAGCAAAAATGAAAGAATGTGTATTTTTTAATGAAATCAGTTTTTTTATTCAATATAATCTCCCTCAACTTGAACACACTTATTCCAATGATCCTCCAATAATTTTATACCATCTCTGTAATGATTTTCCGGAAGCTCTGCAAAATACTGTTCCACGGCTGCAATAGCTTCTTCATTCGACGAAAAACGCTTTCCACGAAGGAATTGTTTCAAGTTTCTGAAGAGGTAATAGTCGGAGGGAGCCAAATCTGGTGAATACGGTGGGTGTTCAAGCAATTCGTACTTTAATTCGTTCAATTTAACCATCGTCAAAAAACTTGTGTGAACACGTGCATTGTCTTGATGAAAAATGATTGTTTTCTTCTGTAAACCGGGTCTTTTTTCACCAATTTTTTTATCCAACTGGTCCAAAAGGTTGCAATAATATTCAGAGTTAATTGTTTTACCTTTTTCAAGATAATCAATCAACAAAACCCCTTTTGCATCCCAAAAAACTGATGCCATAACCTTTTTTGCCGATCGTTCTGACTTCACCTGTTTTGGAGCTGAAGAACCAGCTTCAATCCACTGTAAACGTTCTTGTTTCAGTTTAGGATCATGATGGTAGATCCAAGTCTCATCCATAGTTATAAAACGACGCACAAAATCGGTTTTATTCTGCTTAAAACGCTCCAAATTACGGTGAGAAATTTGTTTTCGATTCAGTTTTTGTTGAATTGTTAACGAATGCGGCACTAACTTTCCGAGCAGCTTTTTCATATGTAATTCTTCGTGTAAAATATGGAGTACTCGTTCATCTGAGATGCCTATGGTATCAGCAATTTCACGCTTAGTTAAACTTGGATCTTTACAAACAATATCATAGACTTGCTCAATGATTTCTGGTGTTGTTGCACTTTTTGGACGTCCACTACGTGGTTCATCTTCAACGCTTGTACGACCACGTTTAAAGTCTAAAACCCATCGATGCACAGTTGGAAATGAAGGAGCAGATTCCTTTAACACTTTCACCATTTTTGTATGAATTTCTGTTGCTGATAAACCTTCCAAAACAAAGAATTTTATCACTGCACGATATTCGGTTTTTTCCATTGTAACAAAATACACTGACACGTCAACTTCAAATGGCTTGTAAACACAGAATGAATTGACCAATCAAAATAGAATTTTTTGTGTGTTCCAATGGAAGATGAAATATTAAAATAGCGTATAAATTTTGATTCCTCTACTGGTTAATAGGTGTCGCTTTCAAAACTTTTCAACCAACCTGTATTATTTTAAATAAACGTATTGCATCTTCAATGAACCTCGTTTTCTAAATTTCGAAACAGCAGTGATGTCAATATGAATACTGCATTATGAATGTCTTAAATACGAAAGCTAACAGAAATTTCTCTCCTACACAAAACCAGGGTATTGAAAGCGTTCAACAAACATTTTTCTTTTATGTGTAGTGACAAAAAAAAACTCAAGAATGTATGGGTAGTTGAGTATGGTTATTTACTATTTGTTTTCAGTACCGCAGGAGGCGATGATTGTATCAATATTTATATATTTCATATTTGATGCTGACAATGGATTTAGTTTTTATGATAAGCTACCTAATGGTTAATCATTGTGTACTTTTTTTAATAAACGATGTGATTAATGAAAGAGAAACAGTGTTTTGCGAGACACAGACATGCTAATAAGAAAAATAGAAAAAAAGTCGAACAAAGTCTTTTTTATATGTAGTAAAACATTTCAAATGCGTCTGAATTTTAAATTTCTACCCATAATTTCTTTAATTCAAACATTTTATAGAGGCCTCAAATCAGTTCAGATCCTCATATGATGTTATACGCGTACCTGATTCGACAGTATATGACATCTCGACATTTCAGAATATTTTTATTTTTTTAAACAGCTAATTAATATGAAAATCGAAAAAGTGAAACATCCACACCCATACAATTGTTCCTTATTGACTTTTGAAATTCATCATACTGAAGGTACTCATTGGATTTAGACTGGATAAAAATTGCCGACAAAACTTTGGTTGACCGTCATGCGGGTGTCGTATAATAATACATGTTCTACGATCAAGTATCTATTATCGGTATACCGTCGATTCTAATGAATATTGTCTTTCAGGATATTTCTATAAATCCCTTTATACATCTTATCTTCTTACCGAAAGAACACCAAACAGACAGCGATAGCAAGAATAATACTTAGGATGAAGGACCAGCTAAGCGAGAGAATTTACTCTTTAGAATTTGATTTTCTTTCAATACACTTAAAATATGTTGCATGCATCAATAGATAAATCCGAAAAAAAAATAAATCTCGGCATCCTCTGAACTATACATTGTTCATATTCACTGTTTGTGTGTGGAGCAACTCTGGACATCGAGCTACTTTCCAATGGTGCTTGACTTTAATTCGTTTGGAATAGCATTGTCTATGAGTATATATTCACAGTGTACAAACAAATCATGTTTTAGTGACTTTCACAATAAACGTTTTTCAAATATACAAAATAATCATTTAATGATAAGTCACCTAATGGTTTTAATTTCAACATTGAGAACAAATCTAAAAAAATTTCTAGTTATTACAATATTGATTTTACTTTGAATGAAAGTAATTGTTTCGCTAATATCATAATAATAGACTTGTGCTAACTTCTCCGATATAATGGGCGAACTATATCGCTGATGATTAATATCATTCATAGGTAATGTTTGAAAGTATTTTTTTCGTTTTCTCTGTGTCAAGAGTAAAACTGTTTTAAGATTAGTCGTCGTGCGATTCAATGTCATGTCAAATATGCCTTTAGCATCTTTCTACTTTGAAAAATAAACGAATGAATAATTCGTATTCTTGAATATCGAAAAGAAAACAAAATCCTTTGTGCATATTATTTTCCCTTGAATAATTTCCTTGTGTATGTTTATTTAGGTGAAACAATGTTGTATATGTATACATATATATATAACGAAAAGGTACTTATATTCACTTTCATATTGCAAGTGTAAGTATTGAAGTATGAAACTCCGACAATTCTTTTTATTTGGGTTCATTCTGTGTATTTTGATCATTAATATTTCTTCTATTGATTCAGATCGTAAGTATACATCTAAATATTATACTAAGATTTTGTTTTTTTGAATTTTCAATATAGTTGAAGGTGATGATGAAGATAGTTCATCAGTAGAAGATAGTCAACGATCGGCCATGGCTGAGAGAAGTATGGATTCACGTTCTTATTCAGGAGCATGTGCATCAAGTCCTTGTGAACATGGTGGTATTTGTACTCCAAGAGGACAAAGGCTCTTTGATTGTAAATGTGTTGGTCCATGGCGAGGTGTCTATTGTGGCATTGGTATGTTAGTAAATTATATCTATTATGTATTATGTTTTTTTTTTGTTTTTCAGCTGATGCATGTTATCGTTCGTCATGTCAAAATGGAGGTACATGTATGAATGTAATTGATGATTATTGGTGTAAATGTCGAAGTGAATATTATGGTAAATATTAAATCGAGTTATTTTTGTTTTGACAATTAATTTTTGATCTGTTTTTGTTTTCTAGGAAAAAATTGTGAATCAAGTAAGTTGATGTTTTAATAAGATTTAGTGCGATTATTTTTCGCGGTTTTTAGGATTCTCTAATCCTGGTGGTACGGTGAATAACTGTCGACCAAATATTTGTAATACTGGTCGATGTGTTTCTCTCAAAACAACTTACTATTGTCAATGTCCAGATGATCGTTATGGTGAACATTGTGAAAAACGTTTCAGTAAATGTCATTGAAAATATTTAAGAATGATATAGATATTGTTTTTTTTGCTAGGTCATTTTAAGCGAGGGTCTTCTGATCAAAAATCGCTTTACGAATTATTAAATCAAGCTAAACGAGATATGAATGATCAAGTTCTTACTGATGACAATGAGGATGACGACAAAAAATAGACTTTACTGTGGCAACATTCATAGATTTCTTCTCTTTCATAATTATCTTTTCTATTTTTCCGTATTATTCTCTCTTTCTCTTTCTACCTATTGCGCATATAAACGTGTATTGTGTGTGTGTTAACAATTTGATTGATGATGTGAAGATGTTGAATAACGTGTCATTCCATCTTGACTAGTACTTCTTGTACTAAAAATTGTCATCTTTGCTTTTCATTTATTTTTATTTGAAAACAAATATTCCAGAGATTTTAACAATAAAAAATAAAGAAAAGAATATCTAAACTAGGAAGATATATATATATGCAAAATGTTCTAAATGTCAACTGTGAAGGAAAAACTGCAATAATTCTTCAAACGATTCATATGATTTCATCCATAACTATTGTTTCATATAGTCACCATCAATAGGAAGACATGAAATCATATGTTTCAAAATATTGACAGAAAGTTAGGACATAAAAATTAATTTTGAAATCATTTAGATGTCGATCATTTGAAACGATAGGTATGATTGAAATAATATGAAATAAAAGCTCCTAAAAATATTCTATAATATGAAGAAAAGTTAATGTGAATCGCTTGAAGAGTTATTGCAGTTTTATTTCACGGTTGACTTTTGGGGCATCCTGTATAAAGCTTTATTATTGATTAGAATCATCACTAGAAGATTATAGACATGTATCAAGTGTAATGTCTATGGTTAAAGTAGTGTCTAGCGGAGTCGAACTTTTTGATTCTGAAAAACTTCAGAAAAAGGGGAGTGGAGTAACAACATGCAAACTCTATTTTTATCTTTTATGCGTAATGCGTGGACAGCTGTAGTTGTGGGATGATGCTGGGGAAGTAAAATATCTTCAGATCCCACACTACATTCATCCAGAAAAGCTTTGCATTTATAAGAAGAAAAGAAAACAACCATACAAGAATAAATGATGGGCTGAGAAACAGAGGCCACCATACATAAATATAACAATAAATGATGCTTGTAGTTATAAATAACGGCAATCTGTTTACTTATCTATACGTAAATATTAACAAGTATTATATTTAGATGAGAATATCTAAACATTTTTCTTTCCTGTTATTAATCCCCGAATGGCAATTCTAGTAGACATTCTATATAGTATAATCTCTTGTTTAACTAGTTCATGTGAAAGTTTTGAAAGGCATATTTTATTTAATAGCAACCACCTTCGTCAGTATTTATCACATAACACATCATCAAAGTATATATTTCTTATTAATAAAAAAAAAGCAAAAAAATACGAGATGTTTCTTTTTATAATAATTCCCTAGCTGTCCCTGTTGTAAACAGTATATCCTGTGGAAAGAATCATGATACAACATATCATTTAATATCTCGTATTCTGCATTATTTTTGTCATGTTTCTAAAAATGGCAATTCCAGTTGCCAATAGAACGTAAAGGGTTAAAAACAAAACAGCAATTAAGTACGAATTCCGTAATATTTTTGGATGTATGTTGAGAAGAATGTCCTTAGATTCTTTTGTAAAAGAAAATACGTTCTTAGATTCAGAATGAATACGCCATAGAACAAATCTCGACATGTATATACTTGAAGGCTTGCTTCTTTCAATTATGAATACACTTTTCTGTGATAAAAGTGTTTCTGAATTTCTAGAAGAAACTTCTTATTTAATACACAATTGGATATAATCGAATACATTTCTATATTAAAAAGATCTTTTCATGCGTCATTCAGCCGAATATGCACTGTATCAATAAGGCCATATAACTATGAGAACGTTTTTCTTTCTCATGTAGAGAATCTGAAGAATTTTAGTTGGACTATGCTACAATAGAGCATTAAGCTAATTCCACAATATGTTCTTTTTTCAAATATCGCATTTTCTCAATTGAATCTTATTTTCTATTAACTGTTTTGCAAGACTTTTTACGTTGGAACTAATACATCACTTTGATAACAGAAGCAAAGTACTATGTACGAGTAAAAATAATTGATCGTTTTACTAATGTAACTATGGCTTCAACGAAGTCGTGTTTGGAAATCTAATGCAAAACTTTAGTTTAAGGTAGACTTGAACGTTCAATATCTACTAAGAATTTTAGTAAATTTGAAAAATTTCTTTGTCATATATATATTTTTCTCATGATCCATGCTATTGAGTTCGAAATTTTGTTAGTTTCTATCGTAGTCTGTGTCATTAATTGCATATAAATCATCTCGATATACATGTATAACATATATTTTCGTATAGATCAATATCAATCAAAAAAGGACAAAATTAGACTCATAATTTGTTTTTTATTTACCTTCATAGTCATAATGCACATGTGTGCATACAGTTTTTCTGCATCATCGTGATACAAGCTATTATCCTATAAATATTTAATGACTAGTAGTATTTATTAATCATTCATATTCGAATATTATATTTTAAACATGACTACTCAAGAAGAAATGAATTCGTTTATTCTCAATACTCTAAAATGTCCTATAACACTTGAATTATTTGTTGATCCAGTTGTTGCTAATGATGGTCATACTTATGAACGATCAGCAATTATTGAATGGGTACAAAATCATAATGGAACAAGTCCAATAACTCGTCAACCAATTAAAATAGATCAACTAAAATCTAATCGAGTTGTAAAACAATTAGCTGATCAATATCGAATTATATCAATGTCAAAAATAGGAAAAACATTAAGTATAATTTCTGGTAATGGTACATTATTAAATACAGACCAAAAAATACTTATTAAAAAATTATTTCCAATAGAAACAAAATGGTTATTAATATACAAAGGAACTGAAAATGGTTTTGATTCAGATGATTTTCATCGTTATTGTGATAATCGTGGTGCTACACTTACTTTAATTCAAGCACGTAGTCGTTTTTATATGAAAAGACATGATTCAATTTTTGGTGGATTTACAACAATACCATGGTCTTCTAAACATGGTTTTTATCTTGATCCAGAAGCTTTTTTATTTCTTCTTAATTCAGAAGATATTATCCGTTTTAATTTACGATCAACAGATGAAACAGCTATTTCACATTATGCTACAGCAGGACCAGTTTTTGGTTTAGATGATATTTATATATGTCATCGACCTAATGAAAATAATTTAAGTTATTCAAATTTTCCACATTGTTATGAAGATCTTGAAAAAAATGGAAAAGGACGAAAGACATTTTCAAAATCAAAATGTTTCTTAGTCAATGAAATTGAAGTGTATATGACTATTATGTAATATAAAACATTGCTAGTGATTGATAATGTGCAGATAAAAACTTTGAAACTTGAGTTTTCTTTTTGTTCGCATTTTTATTTAAATAAATTCTGAATATTTTTTTTGATTGTTTGTAAATTTAAAAAAAAGAATATATAATATTACGTTGTTTTATTAATATCATAGGTGTATAGAAAAAAATCATCTTCTATTTTCTCTTGTATACAGCACTGCATACTCAATTTTCAATTCAATATGATAGATTGTAATAGTATCCATTCCATATCTGAACTAGCAAAGGTTCAACTAGTCATATTATGATTTCTTTCTACAACCCGCACTGTTATAAGTCAGAAATATATTGATAGAATAAAAAAAAAAGCACTTCTTTAACCTTGAATAATTATAAAACGCAATCTACATATACAAGGTAGGCCGTAAATAACACCACGATAAAAAAAATCAAGTGTCTTCGCTTCAGCTCATTCGAATGAGTTTGCTTTTTTTGGTTAAGATGATAGAAGTCGTGTCCTGCACAGAAACTACTTTTTTGGAACCCAATTCGGACTGTAAGCTAATCGATTAATCATTTCAAAAGATACTCAAATGATTGAATTTATTGTTTGAATTAATATTATTGTGTATCATCCATTCAAAAAATTAAGATACAATTTTTTTGATCATCATCTGTTCTAGACTTGAAAAAGACATGTGTACTGCTTCAAAATAATTTTCACTTGTCACCTATGAAAGTAAAAGGTAAAAATCAACACAAAAATTTATGAATGATAGGGATACACATCGAGTAAGTTTTCCACGATAAATTTCAATATGGAACACCGACTTTTCTAATTCAGCTGGTGATTTAATGTATAAAAATGTTTTAATTGTACATTTCAATTATCTGGCATCCATGTCAACATTTTAACAAATTAATCCTGTAAAATTTACTTCATGTGCAGGACTGTAATATCATATATAAAATTTCTTTTAATTTTCACTTTTTATTATCTTAGTGACAATTTGTGTTTCTTTCTTACTTAACGAAAGATAAAATTCCTTTCGCGTCATCAATAATAGTAATATTTATTGACATTATTCGTATATAAAATAACTCAACTGGTAGCTCATTTGAATGAACTGAAGCGGAGATATTTTAATATTTTATCGGATTGGTATCTTTGACTCATTTGTATATATAAATTTTTTTTTATGTAAATCAAAAAGGTGTTCTCTACCATTTTATTACTTTTTCAGGTAAAGACAAATAATAGTTATATCTTTACACGTGTATTTTATGTTTATTATCATCTAAGGTATATGTGAATATTTACATCCATTTTTTTCTAACCTACCAAGAAAACGACGAAATAATGACAGATAAAATTGCTTTTACAATGAAACTTAAACCAAATGTAATTAATGAATATAAACAACGACATGATGACATATGGCCTGAACTTGTTGCATTACTTCATGAACATGGTATATCTGATTATTCAATTTTTCTTGATGAACAATCATTAACTTTATTTGCTGTTCAAAAAGTTTCATCAAATACAATATCATCAAATGATAAATTACGTGAGAATGAAATCATGCAACGTTGGTGGAAACATATGGCTGATTTAATGGAAACTAACATCGATCAATCACCAATTACTCATCCACTTAAACTTGTTTTTCATATGGATTGATCGATTCTTTCATTTGTGTTTTTTTTTGTTTTGTTTTTTCATACAAAGACCTACTAGAATAAATAACGGATGTCGCTAGATTCAAAATACCCTTTTTTTATATCATTATTGGTTATCAATGTATACCAATGATTAAGCAACACTTTGTTTGTCCTTTTTATATCAGATCGTCATTTGTGTCCATGTTATAGTGCTTTATCACATAAAGAAAGGTATATCTTTGTTGTCGATCGATCTGATAGAAATATACAAAAATTATCAATCATTATTATGTCTAAAAAACCTTCATGCAATCTAATCTATTGACATGTACAAATGGTTTCTTTTTTTTTTATATTATTGTAGATTGTCATCATTGTTTATATAAATAAGACAAAAAAAATATGGGTCGACGTGTTAGTGATGAAAAAGATGACAAAACATCTGAAAAACAAGCCACGAATGAATCTGATTCAAATTCTGATTCAAATCTTGATGAAGAAGAATTTGTTGTTGAAAAAATTCTTAAAATGCGTACAACAAAAAAAGGAAAAGTTCAATGTAGGTCATAATTTTATTTTCATTATGAAGAAGAAATTTTCTTTTTTTTTTTAAAGATTTACTTAAATGGAAAGGTTTTCCTGATAGTGAAAATACATGGGTACGAAAATAAGAAGATTATAAAAGCCTTTTAATTCAATATCTTTTTCTTCTATAGGAACCTGCTGAAAATCTTGAATGTCCAGATTTAATTGCTGCTTTTATGGCTGAACAAAAAGAAAAACAACAAACATCAACATCAAATGGTAAACGAGCTCATTCAAGTACTAGTAATACTAATGAAGTTAATAATAATACTTCACCAACAAAACGGCCACGTATTGAATTAGAACAAACAGGTTATCATCGTGGTTTAATACCCGAAATGTTAATGGGTGCAACAGATATTTATGATGGAGAATTAATGTTTCTGTAAGTATTTTGATTTGGAAATTCAATTATTTATTTATTTATTTATTTATTTAAAGAGTTAAATGGAAAGGTATTGCTAAACCAGAACTAGTTCCATCACGTATTGTGAATAAACAATCAGCACAACTTGTTATTAAATTTTATGAAGATCGTTTAACATGGAATTCAACGAATGCATCAAATAATACGAATAAAAAAGTTTAAAACTATATAAAATACTATTGTTTTGTTTACTGTTTGTTAATACAAACTCTGTTTTGTTTTTCTCAGTGTTTATTCGCCCAATAACACAATGCTTTGTTCTTCTTTGTTTTTTGTTTTCTTCTTCATGTTATATATGTTTGTCTGTGTATTGTGATCGGATTTTGTTGTATATTTTGGAAAATATAGGCCCAAAAAAAAAACCTATCCTAACACAAAGTATTAGTATTCGTTTGTTCTCGAACTTGTTGTATTTTTTTGTATGATATTAGATACGCTGTGAAATAAAAACGCTTTTATCTATTTGAAATCTTTTCATAGTCAGATTTGTTAAGGATTACCGCCCTCTTTTGAACCAATTGTAAAACAGTCGAGCTCAAATTTTTTACTACAGCTAGATTGTCGTCGATCATGGATGCATATTTGATGAAAAATTTTTTTTAAAAAAGTTGGGCTTGAAGAGATTTTCAAAAAATATCAAGTCTATTTATGGACGAAGTTCGAATCTGAAAATTTTGGAACCGGATCGTAAGTAGATCCGATGGTTTTTGAAGTTTCCATCAAAAATTCTTAAAGATCTAGTTTTGAAAATTTTAAATCTGAACGATTGTATTCTCGAGCAGAACTAAAAGAGAGGAGTAAGTATTCTTCAGATCAACAGCTAAATTAGATAAATATTGTTTTAGACTAAATTTGTTTCCAAAATATGCAACATCACATCTTCTATAACACCATAAGAAAACATGAGTTCAAATGATAAAATTCAGAAAAAAACAACAGGAATCAATAAGGACATTTTTCTCTCCAAAATTTATTTGAAAAAAAAGTACATTGCAGTAACGAGTCGATCATGCACTAAAACAAGGGCGTATTTATTCACCTTAGTTAGAAATTAAGATATTTTTTGCACTTGTACTCTTCGTACATCGTAGTTGAATTTTTTTCTTTTCGTTTTTAATCAAACACATGACACAAAATATAGTTGACGGCGATGATTACGAATATCGTGTTATTATTTTTTTTCTTAATCATTTAGATACATGAAGAAAACAAATTTTTAAAAAAAATGAAGCATGCTGTTTTTTGTTTTCGAGAGGCTATTGATTTTGTATTGTGTTCCAGACGTTTGAAAGCAAATTTCAATTTGTAAAACAACTCATAAAATTGGATTACGAGCGAAAACCTTAGTCAATTGATGTGTGTGATTCCTTTTGAAATTATAGACTTTAGCATGTCACCTAGTTACCATCTAACAATCAATATAGACAAATTCAGTTTTTTTCTACTCTATTCAAAAATGTCCTTGAAGAAGGCAAAAAAATGCGTTCTTTCGAAATAATATTACAATTTAGTAGTAAAAGGTCATATTTTATAGACAATTTCTTTACAATTCTTGCACGTTGTCCCATGTTCTATATGTTGATCTGATGCAATTAGTACAGCACCGTATTGGAACGGTAATCACTTAAGAAACAAATAGAAACAGTTCCTATGATTAAAATGTTTCATATTTCATCTCATCACTTGTTAGTATGGTTTAGGTAAAAGCAGAGTAGATATTCATAGTCAAATTTACGAGCTCTATATGATGACATGTGTTTGATTCAAAATCAAAGAAGATACTTTTTCAGGTTTCCGACGACTGGAGGAGCGTGCAGTTATGACGAATTTTAACGATAAATAAATCTAAGATACAATTCATGATTGACCTAATATTGTAATATAGATTCTTCTCTGATAAACGAAACTGTGATGATGAAAATGACCTAATCACCTTTACTGTTTTTTTCAACATTATCACTTGTCAGAGTAAAAGAACTTCTGATGTTTTGTTATCAATCTGTATAAGATCTATAATATTGAACAAATATTTGAAAAAGATCATCAAGTGTCCTTTATCTAGAAAAAATTAAGTATGGTAATTAAACATATAAGACAACACACAGTATGTGAGTACTATGAAACGGTAATCTAAGAAACATCACCTTTCACTACTAAATCGTTCTTTTACTCCAGAAGAACATTTTCTTTCTTTCTTCAAGGTCATTTTTCCATAGAGCATGAAAAAATGAATCTACTTGTATCACTTGTAGAAGATAATCAGGTGAAATGGTAAAGCGAAATAACTCAAAAAGAAGTCGCACATATCAATCGACTAGAGGTTTCGCTTGTAGTTCAATCTTATAATCTGTTTAACATATTGAAATATCTTCATTTCTGCATTATTTCATCAAGAATATTTGAATGTTCTATTGAATTTTCTTTTCAAGTGTTTATACAACATTATACAAGGTCGATACCCAATCAAAAATAACGGATAGCGTGCGTCATTTCTTGGAAAATTGTTCTCGCCATTCATCGAAATGGTTAAGAAAAAAAAAAAACTAAGATAATATTTGTAATGAGCTGAGTCGATTTTGTATTTGGTCATATGTTTTATTCAAAACGAAGACAAAAAAATTTCAGGTAGAATGTAGGCGGAGGAAAAGCAGTAAAAATGCAACAAATCCTAATGTCAAACCGGGGTGAATAATACGCCCTTGTTAAAATGTATGGTTGACTCGTCATCGCAATATACTTTTTTTTGAACATATTTTTAAGAGAGAGAAATGTCCTTATCGACTCTCGTTCTTGTTTTTTGATTTTATCTTTTCAAATCAATGCATTCCCATGGTTTTGTAGAGAATTTCATGATGCATCTCTTGGCAATAAAATCATTCCAAAACAATAATAAATATAAAAGATTTTCGAAAAAAAGCTGACCTGGTTGTTTTTTTTGCCACACTCGTAAAAGTTGTGCTAATTATATCAAGATGCTTTTTGAATTAGCCAACAATTCTGTATCATCGAATTAATAGATAGTTTTGTTTTTATTATTGAGTCATTCATGATTAAATTGTCAAAGACAATAGAATTGATTCTTATTTGCGATTGCATAAAGATGAAGAAAAAGCTTGAGATTTCTTGTAATACAATCCAATTATCATCAGTAATTATGGCTCAAACATTAATTGCAATTTCTTTACTAAGAAATTGAAGAGCTTTGAACGTATGGTCAATCAAAGTAAAATTATGAATTTACCTTTCAATTCCATCTTCAATTACTTTTCATGTCAAACATATTAGATTGTCTCGTCCTATTTATTTAGACTTAGTATTAATGTTAGACAAATGTACTTGAAAAATACAGAAAAGTCATTTTTTTTTTCTTTTTTTTTTTATTGTAAAACATTAATTTTTCATAGAACTATTTGTATAATGTGAAGCATGATTTCCGAAGCATTCATCATTTAAAATCAGGTTTAATCGAGAATAAAATATTCGTATTGAACTTCACTGATAGAAGATTATACCAAAATAAAAAGAAAAATGAACTTTATAGTCGTAAACTGGTGTTTTTCTAATTATAACATGTTGTCTTCGGAGTGAAGATTGATGGTTTATGTACTCGGAACATAATAAAGTGTCCTTCTGTTGTGAATTGCATTTTTGTAAAGCTATATTTTCATATTTCACTAAACAAGAGAGCTAGATTAACTCTACATACATGCACTCGTTCTTACATTTTATATTTTTGCTTGGTCTTAAAAGATCTAATAAATTTGTTTATAGTGATTGATTCAGTATTTTAGTTGAGAGTGTGTTGAACTGATCCTAATCCATCGCTGTCTCTACATCATCTATAAGTGTAATCATATTCTGAAGACTTTTATATTTTCTGCTTTCAACTTCATGTTCTACACCTGACTAAAGTTTTTCGTTTTGATTCTGATTCAGAATGCTAAGCTATTCAATCTATTATTTGAAGTTTATTATTATTGATAAATTTTGTATCAATATTACTATTGTATTTGAGGTTGTGATCATGTTAGAAACGCTGATTTCCGTACAATATCAATAAAAGTCATGAATAGATAATTGAACAACGTTACATCTCTTCGGATTGTCTATACAATTTTCATTTGCTTCTTTGAATAATTTTTGATTACTGCAACGGATGTGTTGATCAACAACTCTGTTTTTTCTTGAATGCTGAGAACATATCATTCGCTACTTCTCCTTTCATACTCAGCTGAATGTATTGGTTTTAGTTTGTTTTATACTATAGTATGGATAAATGAGAAGAGAATGATATATGTTAAATTTCATGCGTTCAAAGTTAAAAAACAACTGCATTCTCATTAAGTGGTTCCTTTCTCAAACTAAGAAGGTACAATCACGGAAAAAATGAAGCCTATAATTATTTCATAGAACATGAAAGCACTAAAAACGAATTCCTACATGTGTGTAGGTTTTTTGTAAATGGTTAAGATAATCAGAGAAAATCATATCCTTCGCTTCGATAATATCTCTACACTCTCTCATACAAACTGATCACAGCTCAGAACTCTGCTATTTACAATGAATTTCAATTATTAACTCAGTTTATTGAATTTATATCGTACACCTAAACCTTGATCATATTGCTTTACTTCCATCATCCTTCTGTTTTAAGATACCCACTATACTTTATTTAAACATTGCTTTTCCATTTCTCAATTGTAATACTATTCTGCTTCTATATCTAGTTATTAGCTATATAAACCTGATAGGCATCATGTATTTATCTTTAAATCAATCCAAATCAATCGTTAAATACTTTTATCAGTATATGTGTACCTTGATTGATATGTTTCTGTTATCATTATAACAAAAAGTTGATTTTTCCTAAACCAACGCATCTGATCTTTTTTATGATTGTGTAAGATCCATGTTATTTAGAATGGGTGTGCGTGTGAGTTTTCATCTCTATAACACCCACACCCTAATTTAATGAATTTTTTCTTTTCTAGTGCTATAAAATATTTAAAATACTGAAGTTGAATGTCTTCACAACCTACATAATAAACGTTACAATCACTTAAAAAAACGATTGAACAGTAATATTCAAATAGTCCTACGAATAAATTTTCTCTTTGAGAAATTTGAAGATCAAATGAATCGAATGAAGCATGTACTAAAAAAAAAAGAAAAATTTGAAAAACACAAGTAAAATTTCAATCAATTCACACAACTGAAATATCATTACAAGCGCTAACAAATGAACCTTACCTTTCAAAATCTCACAATTCAACAAAAGATTTTATTGTCACAAGAATATTTACCTGTCTATGTTGTATGGTTTGATGATAATGAACTTGCTTATGATATTTATTTGTTGAGAATGTAAACGGTGAAGAATTTCATATCTAAGTTAGACACGGAGTACATATCTGAAAAAAAGAACTCAATCTTTTTGTTTGATTCGAATAGCCTAAATCATTTGCGATTATTGAAAATTAGAAAGATTCTCGTCATTATTGGCGACTTTGCAGTAATTAGTGATCATGATCATGAAAAACTAAGAAAAGATATTCGTTTTGAGGTTTGGATTGATAAAGATCTATCAAATAATGCAAATATTTCACAAATTAATAAAAAATAATTCGAATATTATGAAAAGTCTCTTACAAAGAACATTCATTCGGAGTATTTACATAATGTGTTTCTAGAGTAACTGAAATGATGGATAGTCTTAATGATCGAACATTTCAAACTGTTTATTTTATTGGCATGTGAAAATAAGTAAGACAAGGCTCAATTGTGATGTATTTCAATCACACGAAACTCAAAATATAATGTCTAATAAATCAGATGTTATTTTAAGTTTCATTGTCGCAAAACACATATTCAAACGCTGAAAGGTTTTTTGATATTTCTTCTCGAAATTATTAATATTATGATAAGCTGTTACTTTAGACTCGTAAATCTCTAAATGCTAAATGTCAATCGAAGTTAATTCTTCAAAATTCCTTATTAGTAACTTACCAAGGCTTGAAAACTTCGAAAGAAATGATCGTTCTATTCAATGAATTGACGGAATGAGTTAAATGAAAAATAATTGGATTCTTTCGATTATTGTCATAGAGATTTGAGTATGCTGTTTAATTTCAACCATAGACGTACGTGGGGGTGAAAGCTTGAAGTATGGATATCGGCGTACTTATCTTTTCTAAGAATCGTCACCCGAGAGAATTTTTTTTGTTACATACATCGTTTGCAATCGACACAACCCGTTAAATATATATAAAATAGGTGGCCCAGACTAACTGGCAGTGTCAGTAAGAGTGTGGGTGTGAGTGCTATTCGTCGCTTCAAGCACACCTACACCCACACCCTAGATCTTAAAGAGACGAAGGAAAACGTTTTCAGTTTTATCATGACTTTCAAGCTTTTCTACAACTTGAACATTGGTCTACAATCGTGATATTGTTTTCCTCAAATGTTATATTAACTATTTCTCTTGTAATATGTGGAACAAAATATCCTATCATTAAACCCAAATGCTTTTCATTATTAGAATGAGATTATTTCACACAATTTTCATTTCAACATATATGTCTGAAAAAATATTTAAAACCGGAAAAAACATATATTCTGGCATCTAATGAGATTTAAAAAGGTTTTCATATAAATGTTCAAGAGAAACTACTACAGATCCTGTATCTGCAACTATCGCATTATTTCCAACACCCACACCCAATCGAAATGAAGACTATACTGACAATAGCTTG